GAAACAACTCTCAACAAGAGACCAAATGACACAGAAATTAACAACTGTAGGTCATCGTACGTCCTTCAACAATGAGTAAAACCCATACCGCATAGTCAGCTATAAAAGGCCCCGGAATGACAAATGTAAAACAATTCAAACTGTAGTCTAGATAGCAATGCTAAATGATCATGGTCAGTCAACACAGTATAAAATTATATGATTTTTAAAAACTGATCTGTAGATAAATTCGTAATAAGATTTGTCACTTTTATATATACTATTCGCCATAGGATAGTTTGTTTATTTCTGTTTATTCTGCGTTATGCTTGAACAGTTATATATTAGGTCATTTATCATGTCGGGCATGGTTTATAAAATATTTAGTACTCTAGATTTTGAAAGGACAACGTGAGATCTAAACAAGCGAAATTATTCATGTTGTCCTAAGGATATATATTGTTTATAATCAGCAAACGAAAATCTGATTTAATACTTTCAAGAATTTCAACTTTATATTATAAACTAAGAACTATAAGTATTTGACCAGTATTAAACAAAAACTAAACAATATGTTTATAATACATTCTGAAACAGCAAGCAATGCACATTAAGTAGCAGATGTATTGGATTACAACGACCAACATGTTCATATGTAGTAAGTCCACCTCTTCAAATAAATTGAAATAAAAAGTGTCCAGTAATAAAAACAATTATACAAAAAATAAAGAATAAATGGAACACACCCAGCAAAACTAATACACCCGGTTTAAAAATCTTATGTTATACACACTAATCTACGGAAGCGTATTAGCGCCACACATTTCTCTTTTATATTTTTCTTCCTATGTTTGCGATATAACGCAAACCTTTGCGTTATAATGCAAACCTTTACGTAATAACGCAAACCTTTGCGAAATAATGCAAACCTTTGCGTTATAACGCAAACATCTTGATTTCAGTTTTCATTAAGTTTTGTATATATGTCCGTCTGTCATTCAATTTCGGTTGTGATTTAGTTAAGAAAAGAACCATAAATACAAGGCAAAATTATTATAATAAATATGCATAGGAATAAGGGAATACTTGAAGTGCAATTAAGAATGGTTTGGGTATCAGAAAAGTATAAAGAAAATAGATATGGTATAAGCATATTTTAATTGAAAGGCCAAAATTTAAAAAAAAAAATTAAGTAGATAAGAGCAAAAATAATGACGTACAATTGTGAAATTGTCAAGTCAAATAGACAAAATGATCTTTCTGCTTTAAAATGAATTATTGAGAAAGAAACATATTTTTTTAAATTTTGATGTAAAAAAATCGTTTTTTAAAATCTCAGAATAAGATAAAGATTCTTTGATAAAAAGTCATGGAATTTTCATTCCAATCTAGTGAGGTACCTTTAAGTTGCGTGGGTAGCAATTTGAATGGAGAGAACATAATTTTAATAATAAAACATCTTAATTTTATACATTTATTGCAAAAAGGTAGCTTGTTTGGATCTAACCAACCTTACACAAGGTTAAAACGAGAGCTTACTTTGGAAATATATATCTATTCGGCTATAGCTATATTAGCATATTGATTTTTTATTTTCTTCGGTATAACTTCAATTTACTCAATTTTCTTTGTAATAGATATACATGTATTATCATGATATCATTTTGGGGGCCCTTTATAGCTTTATGTTGGTGTGAGCCAAGGCTCCGTGTTGAAGACCGTAATTTGACCTATAATGGTTTACTTTTTCAAATTGTGACTTGGATGGTGAGGATCTCATTGGCAATCATACCACATCTTCTTATATCTATAAGCATGCTCATTATTAGTCAATGATATGTTCAAAATATTCAAGCATTTTACTTTGCAATGAGTACAAAGGGGATACATTTTAATATATGCAGCCTCCTCAATTAATAACTGCTGCTTCCTTTGAATCTTAAATTAGAAATAAAATCAAACAATGTTTGCGTTATTTCGCAAATGTTTGCGTTATAACGCAAAGGTTTGCGTTATATCACAAAGGTTTGCGTTATATCGCAAAGGTTTGCGTTATAACACAAACATAGGAAAAAATATTAAAAAAAAAGTCGTGTGGCGCTAATATGCTTCCGTACTAATCTGTAATTGAAAAACAATTATATTTTCAAAAACATTTTTAAGGAGTTATTTGTTTACTTACTACTTTGATTTAGTCATATAAATTACATTTCTCAGCAATAACATACTCTCTTTTCCGTCTAATGGAGTTTACATACCTCAGTTAATACGTTACGGACATGCATATTCACAACATACGGACTTCGTAAACAGTAGTGTGCTCCTTACACAAAACCTGCTCCAACAGAGTTATACAGGAAGAATGACTGAAATCGACACACCATAAGAATTGGTTGACCGATACGGTGTGTCGCTGTCTCAACTCACTGGCGATGTTTTTTACAAGAAATAATCTGCAACAATGATAATTCGAGCAAATACTTTATTGTTTGCTAACTTTTAAAGTAGCAATAAACCCATGCCATATACTATTCGCCATGGAGTTTGTATTTCGTTTCTTTTTACTGTAGTTACGCTTTTACAATTGTATAATCTCGAAGACAAAACATACGTTACACCATAAATACTTGAATAGCAATTATAAATCAAGTCGTAGTTTAAAAAAAAACTTATATCAAATTGTAAGGGCATGAACACAAAATCTGTTGTTTTTTTTTTCAATTACAAAACTCTTCATTTCCGGTTTCGACAAAATGCGATAAAACAAAAGAATAAAGTTCTAATCAGAATTGTGACTGTTAAAAACCAAAAGATATTATCCATGCCCATCCATGCCAAAACAGCAATAATTTATCAAAACATAACAATTAACAATTTTAAGCGGTCAGCATGTTGAGCATACATAATGGCTATTTCAATTTTGAAGATACGTCTCGGAAATTGAAACAGGTGAAGCTCTTGTAAAGTATTTGTGAAATCACCCAGTTTTAAACAATGAGAAGAGTTTTCCCTAAATTGGGTCACTTCCGACTGATGCAGGAGAACACAACTGGTAATATATGGTTTAAATCTCTGACACCATGCCGTTTCAAACTTATCTTTCTGTTCATTCACGGGTTATGTATTTCTTTAAATTCAAAATGTCTCTTAATTTGTCAAACCATAACCATTGTGCATTTCAATTAAACAAATTGAAAAAGAGGGTCTCGAAATTCGATGTATTATTATAATGTTGCGTTTTAATGTGATGGCGCTAAGTTAAGTTAGCATTTCATTGAACAAGTGGTCTTTTAATACAAGACGATGAAATAAACAGTATAATTTACTTTCTTTATATGAGAAATAAACCACATGTTCACCATTTTCTACGTAACGTTTATTTTGTCCAGTAATATATAAGTTAGATAAAATATCAAGCATGATGTATTTTTAAATCTTTATTACTCTAGATTTAAAAAAGACGACATGAGATGTTAATGAATGAACTTCTTTATTGTGTCCTGAAAATATATATATATATCCTTACGAATTAGCAAATATAATCCGATATAATATTGGTCAATCATTTCCAGTTTAGAAATTAAACGATACGTTGCAGTTCCGTGAGTACTGTGTTTAACTTGTGATTCAAAGATTCTTTAATGTATTTATTCTTTAAAAATGTAATATGTCATTATTATTATTATTATAAATTTTTTTTTTAGCAAAACTCAAAGCTCTATTTTGCCGATAATTTTGCAGTATATAATTTCTCTCTTTGTTACGTGCCTGTTTATGAATATATACATTATACATGATTGATTGTTTAATTGATATTGATTAATAATTAATTAGTCCACTCTCCATCGCTTGTCACAATGTGGTAAAAGTCACCTAATGTATCTGTATCTGTATGTATACGTCGTAGTAACCAAGACTGGCTTTTATACAACGTGGTAAAGGCGCCGTCTATTTATTGACGGTTCGCGGGAGCATATTCAAAGCTCTCTACGATTGTAACTTGCACCACTGTGTCTTCTAAATGGTTCAAATTAATTTTTCATGGACACAAAGAATGAGTTGGTATGTTGTGATGTTCTACTGGTTGGAATGCCAAAACACCTAGTATTATTTCTAATTTGTTTTTCTACAATGTTTGTTGTTTTAAAGTTATCCAACTTTTTGGCTGTGATGGTTTTTCTTGGCCTTGCTGATTTTTTAAGTGCTCGTCTGGATCAATAGCAGGAACCAGCCCCTTAACCACCTTGTACAAAAATAGAAGCTTTTGGCTTTTACGTCTATTTTGTCGTTCTTATATTTCTAGTTTGGCAAGCATGTTTGTTATTGATCAATTTTCTCTTGTTTTTAGTCGCCTGTATAAACATTGCTGCTTGTCGTTGTATTCGTTCTAGCTTGTCGGTATCTGCTACACTATACAAAGTCCCACATCCTGTTAACAAAAGTACCATGAAAAGTTTCCAAAATTTCTAGAATTATTTTATTTACATCATATTAGAACGTCACAAGTTAAAATTATTCTATATTAGATATCTTGAACTTTCTGTTTTTGGTCAATAGACATAGAGGGACTAAGAGAACAAACCCAATTCCAGTTTAGATATCATTCTGTGCTATTACTTTGTGTAAATTCATCAGTAGATTTATTATCTTCGGACATAATTACCAACTGAGAACACTGAATATCAACTTTGATATTTACTTATTACTTGTGGAATATACATTGTGAATTAATAACTATTGAATTTATATATATTAAACTGTGAACTCTAAAATTAACATTATTCATGTGTGTGTGTGTGTGACTGTCTCTTTTAAATTTGACGCATTAATTGATATACTTGAACCAAATAGTCGTAAATAATATTCGTTGTGGTATATTATCAGATAACTTATAAATTGGTTATAAGTCATGCTGGTATGATTCTTCCAAAGAACAATCAGACAATGTACAAAAAAAGTCTTAGTCGTATGTTTGCTTAAAAGATAACGATATTTTCAATTTTAACAAAAATACTTTTTGACATTGAAGAAAAAAGTATTGGGCTTGATTGAGCCTTGCATGCAACAGCGTTTGCGATGTAAATATTATTATACAGCTATATTTTAACACAAAATAGCATTAAAGATTCATATTTAAGAGTAAGTCGTGAATATTTTACCCCATATTGAATTACAGTGCTGACGACTAGTGTGAAGCATCCATCGGCCTGACCTATGGCTAGCCTATGCCTATGGTTTGAAAAAATTATAAATTTGTATGATAATGTTATTAATTATAGACCCTATAATTTTAGAGTTAAACTAGGATACATATGTTAGTTTTGATTCTTAGAATGTTTTTGTTAGTAGATGTACAGAAATTTAAGTATTATTGTACAAGAAACTGAACCTAACGCCCTTTTTATTAAGAGAAAAATGACACACCGGCTGGATTTACTCTACAAAATTTGAGGTATTTGATAAAAAAAATTCCAAAGACAGGAAGTACACTTTTCACCTGAGTTTCAAGATTTCATGTGAAATTTTTCATTAGTAAATTACTAAAAAGGAAAAATATCAATCACATCACAGTAACAGATGAACAAGATTAATTGACTTTAGTGTATACTTTAATGAAATAACAACCAATAAATACCTGATCACTGATCATGCTGATAATGAAACATAGTGGACATAAAGTAATAATTGTAGCATGGATTACTTCCCCTGACATTTCATATTGAGTGTATTTAATATTTTTTCATTAATCAATATAATATGATACAAATGTTAGAAATATTATGTTTATTAACACAACTTTTTTTTGCCTTGATTATTTACATAATGCAGATACATAAAATCTTTGAATAACTGGAGCTTATTTCTTCTTTTTACACCATTAGGAATTTGAAGAAATAATAAAATGAATCAGTAAATCAACCCATCTGCTGTCTGTCTCTTTGACGTATACCCCACAAGTTGATTGAATCAACGAAATATATTTCATGCTCATCTCAGAACAAGACTGAGAATTTTATTTTTAGTCCTCCTTGAACAATATGTATAGAGCATGGATACATACCATAAAGACTTACATGTAGTTATTGTGTTTGTTGGTAGAATCACCAAACTTCTAATGTTTTTAAACTGAATTAAGTGAGTTAAATCAGGATAAATATATTTTCTGCTCCACTTTATTAATGTTTTTTATAAATACTGATAATACTAAACTTTAAAAAAAAAATGTAGTAGAAGGTGACCCACTCCCATTTTTCACAAAGTCAAATAGTGAGCTAATTTGAAGCATGTACTGTTGGATTTACTCATGAGTTGGATATGCTTCATCTATAATTCTACATGTATATGAAGTTTTGTTTGATTTCATGTATTGAAAATTTTTTCCAAAAGACAGGAAGTATACTTTTCACCAATGTCGAGGTTTCATGCAAAGTATGTCATTTATAATGACATTAGCCATCATGTCACTAAAGCAGATGCTTCAGATTAACCTTTTTGGTTATACAAATTTAACAGAACAGGTCTCATACATAAAGAGTATTGACCAAGGACGAATACATACATTGTAGTTCACTTTATGAGTAACTTAAACTATCCATCAAATTGCAGTAGATTTGATATCTGAGTAATTTAACATGTTTTACTAGAAATGTCACACATTCAAAGAGTGGAATATATTTTCGTATAGATCTTTAAACTAGTTGAATTAGTTTTATTTCATTTTCGAAAGGTAAAATGACTGATATTTTAATCCTTTTCATGAATAAGTAAATTTTACATCCTTAACTGGTTTAATTACAATAAGAGCAGAGGATTTTTTATGGTAATTAGAGTCCAAGACAACTTTGTCATCATTATTAACTATACATTTTAACCTCAATCATTGTCAATATTTCAAAACAAAATTGCGAATATATTTTTTCCCAGGTATTTCAATTGGATGAGGGTATAAATATGCATAGCAATTTAAAATCAAGGAAATCAATTAAAAACGGATATTTAGATGATTAATCATATGAATACTGGGATCAGTATGAATGGTAGCATTTCTGTAAATTTTGTTGAATATGCAATGCACATAGCCTAATAAGCTGCTCTATGTTCCTTCTCTTTTTTTCATTGTGATCCCTGGTATTAAAATATTAAATTATTACATGTGTTGCAATAAAATGCCATGATTTCTAGTAAAATAAAAACACTCACCTCCTGACTATACAACACTGATAATTAACTCATGTTCTATGCACATTCATAACTAGATGTTTTGTTTGGTCATTCGTTGAATATTATTCTATGTTTCAATTCTAAGGTTAGTTATTCTATAATTACAAAGTACATGGATAAATAAAATATTTGATTTGATTTGATAAAATAGTTCATGGAATAGATAAAGTTTTTATATTTACAAACTTGAATACACTGTCTTTAAAAAGATGCTATATATAAAAGTTTGTGAATATACTTTCAGGTTTTGAAAAGACCTTCCTGTATCAGATTTCAGCTAAAAGGAAATCAAAATGTTATGTAATAAAGTTAAGATGGAAGTAAATCCTAATTTTACCAGTCAGCACTTGATTTACAAACAAACAAAGCATTTATTTCATGTACCAAAATTTACACCAGATAAAGAAATGCTGTCTAAAATATTAAAAAAACAAAATAAGAAAGGAAATATATTTGAAGGATTATATGAGGCATTAAGAAAAGTGCAAACATTTCAGTTGATCCCAGTTGTTCATGCTAACTTAACAAAAAGTCAGATTGAGGAAGTGAAAAAAATTGCTAGTCAATATGAAGTTACTGACAGTGAAATTGATAACTTTATATCTGAAGAAACTGGAAAAGATCGACTTCGAAGGATGTTTAGAAAAAAGTGAGTATTTGAGTCTTGTTTAGGGGTGACATGGATTTATAATGTATGATACATCATCGTAACATGTACATGTATTTATATCTTTATGCTTTCTTTTAATGGAATATTTTTGTTTTGAGATAAACATACAAGGTATCTTACATTATTGGTAAGGTAGATTATGGAATATTTATCAGGTTTAAGAAAAATTTAAGGGTAATAGGATAAAGACTAAATTCCATCCCCTTGTAAAAGGTCAACATTTGAGTGCAATTTTCTTCTTCATTTTAAGTTAGAAAATTGTACCAATAGATATATATATTATACTCTCTAGTAAATAATTTTTTGTTTTAAATATTTTGATCTTAACACAATCTGTATTCTGAAGTAAAATTGTTCAGTATTTTTTAGAGATTAGTTATATATATAAGTAGTTTATAACATATATAAATGAGAATATATGATGTGTCAGTGTCTCAACTCACTAGCGAAATGTTTTAGCCATCAGAGATCTTTAATTTAGACACCAGCATAATCGTCTAATTTGTAATTTAACCAATTGTGACATTTTAACTGAGTTTAATTTGCATGATGGGTGATGCATGTATAGCAGGAGACGCTTACCCTGTCGACGCACCCGGTCTTTCTCCTCTTGTAGTTCATGCATTTCCTTCAGTTTTTGTTTATTACTTTGATTTTTCTCTCTTTAATTGATTTACAAGATTTGAACAACTTTTTTGCAGGCAGTAGGGTACTGTTCAGTTGTTTTTAGACAATACAACATTAAACGTTGACTGAATCGATTTTCCCTGACTGCAAGGGAAATGAATGAACAGTGCTTACTTTACTGCAGTATGCATGTCTAAAAATTAACTGAAAGACTAAACAATTTTTTGCTAAATTATGGTCCAATCTTTTAAATTTATACGCATAGGTTTGGAGAGTTACTATTTTTAGCATACCAACAAGTAGGGGCTGGCAGATTCTAAATGAGTGATACTGACTCCAAAGTCCTTTGTTTTAATTTTGGTTTAAGAGATTCTCTGACAAAATGTCTGATTAGAATTTTTTGTAAATTTTAAAGAATTAAAATTGAATATAAAGGAGAAGGAAATTGTGTCCAAAAAATTTGTGAGTTTGAGCTTCAATTTTTATCTCGCATAACTCTGAGTAGGTTTTTATATCCCTCTTACGGGTATATTAGAAGTTGGCATTATCTTTTCACATCAACTTGCATTGTACAACTGTATACCAGGAAAATATATATTCATCATGATGTGAACTATTTGAAATGTATGCCAAATTAGGTTTTAGCACAGATTGTACAGTTCACTGAACATAAATATATTATAGTTCCAAGTAGTCTTGTTTAGTCTTGTTTTGAACCTCACAAAATTTTAATAGTTTCATCACTTTAACATAGAAGGACTTAACTCTTGTTTTGTACCTTCACTGTCCTTGCATAAGCATTACAAAATCAGAGGTTTAAATCTTGTTCTATTCATTGCATGGTATACCTGATCAATAGATATATAAGATATACATGTACCTTTATAGGTCACTGGTTTCTTAGTGCTTTATGTACACTATTTTCTCCAACCAATTAAATACACCTCATTGAAAACTGCTCAGAAGTTAATAAAAATTACCATAAGTCAGTCTTGAATCCCCCTCAAAACAAAAATAAATACATCACACTATTTTTGCTGATAATACACCAGACAACATACAATACCATGAATACAGAGACTATCGTTTAAAATAGTGGCTAATATGATTTTCATTTGTGCATTTCTAAAATAATTGTCATACATGTATAAATATATTCTTAGAGCTTGAGGATTCTTAGTTCACTTGATTATGAATTGAATGATCTGATATGCTGCATTTAGTATTATATTAACAAAGCTATGAACTCTGCTGTACGTAATATTTTTCTTTAACATATTTTTTTTCCAGTGAGTTGAATGAAAGATCAGATGAAGTGGTATTTATTTGGGATAATACAGTAAAAATGACCGCAATAGCATACCTTGGAATGTTTTTATTAAAACTTATGAATGAGAAGAGGGAATTCATAAGGAAAAGCAAGAGTGCTGTATACTTTTCTGGCTTCCAAGCAGGAGTAAGTACATTTTTCTGGCTTCCAAGCAGTAGTAAGTACATTTTTCTGGCTTCCAAGCAGGAGTAAGTACATTTTTCTGGCTTCCAAGCAGGAGTAAGTACATTTTTCTGGCTTCCAAGCAGGAGTAAGTATTTTTTTGTAAGAGAATCTAAATTATACTAATGAGCCATTAAATGATTTGTAAATCTGATGAAGTCATTGTCAAGGAGGAGGGGCAGGGAAAGTAATGTAGAGGGTAGAAAATTTCAACAGTTTTCAGTTTTCTGGGTTTGTTATCAGTGTTTTCTTGTTCAATTTTTTAAAAATCAGTCATCTACACAAACAGGGATGTAGCTGCCGTTAGGCACTATAGGCATGTGCCTACAATGTACTCATTATTTAAAAAAAAAATGTTTTTGAAAATAATGACAACACAATTTGTGTCATTTCTGAGTTTTTTTTTCTTTTCATGAACTTGATCATTACATGTATGGCCTCAATCATCTAACTTTTAAATTCTTTACCCACCCCTTTTAAGATGCATGTGAAGTCGTCAAAACTCTTTAATCATCCAGTCAAATGTACACTGTCTATTATATATCTAGTCTATCATCATTGATGATTGAAGGGAGTTTGAAAGAGTAATAATATATTGAATGTACAGTCAGTAACAGTATTTTAACTTATAGACAATTGAGTTGTGGAAAATGTCAGAGCATAAAGTAAAACATAAACTATAAAATTGAACTTTGGATGAAATGTTTAAAAAAAGTAAGACAAAGTAAATCTTTAGAAAGTCAAACCGTATCAAAACAAATATGAGAAAGTGATGATAAGGACGAAACAATTGAAATAGATGAGAGTCAGACTGACTTAAGTGATATAGGGACAGCTAAGTCCAATTTCAAGCCTGCCTTCTAGCTCTAGTTCAGATTTCACTCTAATCAACAAATATGAACCTCCATACCCTGACATTGCAAAATTATCTGATGTGGATGAAACAATTAAAAAAACTGTTATCTACAATGGGAAGGACCCTCATTTATACAAATTCCCAAGCAGGTAGGTACATATAATCAGAAAATATATAATTTTGTAAATTGTGTTTAATTTGGAAGTATGAATAAACAAAAAATTTTGTATTTGAGCATGATATTTTTCTTGGGACAAAAAATTCTTTTTCACTTTCCTTATTGAACAGATTTTTTTCTTCAAGAATAATATATTAAAAAAAGAAAACATCCCCCCTTCCCCCCCAGTAAAAAAATAAAGAAAGAAAATGAATGGTCTGTGCCTAGTCCAATTAGAATAATATTTACATGCTTGAATTTTTAATGTAGGGTTGTCAATATATACAATTTGTTGTAGTATTTATAAATTAACCTCAATTAGCACGGAATGGATATATAACAATGTTAAACAGGATTTAAAACTTAACTGTAGGTCTATGTTGGAACATAGTAGACTGTCAGCGAAGACGGAAACTATTAGAGACACTAAATGCAAAGAAAAAGGATTTATATCTGAACATTTATTCCATTCTGACAGTTCTGCTTACAATCCCTTCTCATTTCGGCATCTAGTGACTGCTCATTCATCGCAATGTGCCATATCAAAAGCTATTTAAGAGCTACCATGGGAGATGAAAGGCTATCTAACTTATCAATTTTGCACATTCACAGATCAATAAGCGTAAACATCCCAGACATTATTGACAAATTTTCTGTGAGAAAAAAACAGACGCCTTGATTTTGTTTAAAAATGCTTTGAGAAATTTGGTCATTATCATTGCTTACTCTGAAAGTTTAGTACTTTATTAGTTTTACATTTTAAAGGATAGTTTTATGTTTTACATTGTCCTAATTTGCATATTATGTAAATGTTGAAAATCATTTTTGGACAGTCATTCAAAAATTTTGCATCTAATAATGTTGAAAATCATTTTCGTCGGGGGTTGAACCCCCCTGAAGTCCCCTTCAAAGGACTCTGCCCTGGACCCGCTGAGGGCCTTAAGTGGACCCTCAGACCCCCTGCCGTAATTTGTGCCTACAGTTCATTTAATGTCTGGCTACACCCCTGACAAATGGAACATGTTTTATGACTAACAGTCTTACATTGAATATTTTCAGTTTTCACCAACGTGTCAATCTGAAGGAGTTAAATATTGAAGGTTTTTCCATGAGAATTAATCAAATGTTTGCTTTCTTTTGATCATATAAAGATATAGCAAAAGTAGCTGAAGAAATGTAGTAAAGATAATATTTCCCTTTTGGTATTATTACCATTAATTTCCATACGGAGATAGTTTATGGTTAAAATTGTGAGGAAGTACATTAAAAAATGTAGGTGGAAGCTTACGATGACAACATACCTTGCTTCTTTGGCCAGGTTAAAACTTTGTAATTGTGCAGGACTTTTGACCTTATTATTACTCTCAAGTTTGTAGCTAAAGGGTTTTGGATAAGATTTTGTTAGTATAACTGTATATCATTTGAAAGGCAAACATTTTTATAATTTATTAACCTTTGAGTAGTGCATGTAAGTATAGGTAAAGAGCAATAACTATACCCATATAAAGATATTACATGTGTCACAAATACCTGAATATGCTTGAAATATTTGCTACTGGACATTAAGCAAGAAACTATCAATCAATCAATCCAGTTGACACATGTTCTTGACCTCAGTTCCATCCAACAGACATGTCATGTTGGTGTATCAACTTGTGTTTATAATTTATAAGGTTGATAAGAAAGCTGTAGGTTGCTGTTAGGATGCTGTAAAGCCTGTTGATTATTTAGCAAAAAAAAAAAGCATGTTGTTTTATATTCTAGTGTCATGGTTTCTTGAATACTTAAAACAAAGCCTTTAGTTAAGATCTTGTTAAACAAAAACATTATGAAATACTTTCTTCATGAAAAGACAAAATGTGGTAAGTAATATTTTTACAAGAATGAAAATTGATTATAATTTTACAAACCTACACTTATTCGTTTTGATTGGTTGAATATGTGCTTTCCAGATTATTTTAAGCAAATTGTGTTTTCAATTGCAAGGTATGTTTGTTCCTACTAACAGGAGTTCCTCTATGAACGTTGTAAAAATAATGCTATCATCTGTTCCTGTTGGAACAAATATTTTGTATGCCTTATTCTGTACAAATACTGTAATATTTCTTCCAGTTGATATCATATTCCAGAATATTTATTCCCATTGAAAGTTTATAAAGGAACTTCTTTTCCATAACTTTATTTTTATATTGTATAAGGACAGGAAATTACCAATCATATCTTGAATATATTTTTGAACCAGCTATTGTTGCTTACATTTATTTGTAGAGGCAAATGAGAGACACAGTAATTACAAGATCAGTATTATTTGGTGGAGCTTGGGCTGCAAGGTGTGGATTTCTAGCAGGAAGTGTATTGTAAGTATTATTTGTTGGAGCTTGGGCTGCAAGTTGTGGTTTTCTAGCAGGCAGTGTATTGTAAGTATTATTTGTTGGAGCCTGGGCTGCAAGGTGTGGATTTCTAGCAGGCATTGTATTGTAAGTATTATTTGTTGGAGCTTGGGCTGCAAGGTGTGGATTTCTAGCAGGCAGTGTGTTGTAAGTATTATTTGTTGGAGCTTGGGCTGCAAGGTGTGGATTTCTAGCAGGTAGTGTATTGTAAGTATGATTTTGTGGAGCTTGGGCTGTAAGGTGTTTATTTCTAGCAGGCAGTGTATTGTAAGTATTATTTGTTGGAGCTTGGGCTGCAAGGTGTGGATTTCTAGCAGGCAGTGTATTGTAAGTATTATTTGTTGGAGCTTGGGCTGCAAGGTGTGGATTTCTAGCAGGTAGTGTATTGTAAGTATTATTTGGTGGAGCTTGGGCTGTAAGGTGTTTATTTCTAGCAGGCAGTGTATTGTAAGTATTAAAAACTAGGTTATGTTCTCTTCCAATAATGCCACTTTTGCAGAAAAGAAAAAATAAACCCTTAACTATGATGGCCTCTGGTGAGAGGTTGGACCACACAAAAAGTACTGTTTCAGTGACTTGGGTTCAATTCTATGTCTTAAGTGTAAATCACAGAAACAAGCTAAAGACTACTATGATTTCATTAAGGACCAAAATATAAAGCTTCCTCCTACAGAAAATGTATAACTGAGAAAAATATTTAACCGTCCTTTATTGACATAATTATTACACCAGAGTTATGTTCTGTGTAACTATCTGACATAGAATGATAACACTTTATCTATAGATTGCATCTATATAAAAATAATAAGATGTGGTTATATAACTGTTTCTTATGAGTAAAGTTCTATGGATTTGCTACTCTCTCTGATTTAAGAGTGATCGGGTGTTCACAACTAGTTTAGCTGTGTACATGTTAGATGTCACATAGTGCTTTTCATAACCCAAGAACCTGTTGTCTAGAGATTTTCATTCTCTTTCTTTTGACTTTTACATAACCGACTCTTTAATATCTGTTTTTTCCAGTAGTCTTTTTGACAAAAAGTTTTTACATGCTGAATTCATTGAAGTTAAACATGTATTTGTAGGGTTACACATAATTTTTCTGGTAAGAAACTTTATTAAATTAAAATGTGGAATTTTAACATTAAGTTTTTTAATCATTAAGTCTACTGTATAAAAATAAGGAGATGTGGTATGACTACCAATGAGACAACTATCCACCAAAGTTCAAATGAAATTGATGTAAGCAATTGTAGGCAACTGTATAGCCTTCAACAATGAGAAAAACCCATACTGTATAGTTGGCTGTAAAAGGACCCAACATGAAAAATATGAAATAATTCAACATCCTAAATTATAACAAAACAAACATAACAGACTTGAACCAACGATAACCACTGAACTACAGGTTCCTTACTTGGGACAGACACAGAATGTGGCAGGTTAAACATGTTTGTGAGCGCTCAACCATCCCCCTAACCTGGGACAATGGTGTTAAAGGACAACATAAGAACAAACTATAAAAATCAATTGAAAAGGACTTAACTCATCAGATTGATACAAAGCAGAAAAACATCTAACAAAAACACAGACCCGATGTGGCAAGGTACTGTAAATTCAGAAATTATTGCGATGTTTTTATTATTGCGAAAAATGCGACAGGGTTATAATTGCAATAATTTAAACTCGCATTTTGAAAGTTTTTATATGAATTGAATAGGATTTTTCTCAATATCGCAAAAATTAAAATCGCAGTTTAGTCTAAAATGACAAAATCGCAATAATAAATGCATGCAATAATTTCTGAATTTACAGTATTTATACATCCCTAACAACAAATAAGACACCAAGTACAGATCTGAGAGTACTCGCAATTACTGACAGCTAGTTCAAAGCCAATAACAACTAATAACAATATTCATGTATCTTAGACTAAAATATCAATCAGTTCACATCCAATGGATTTAGTGTAAAGACGTCATTAACAGTCTGAGAAAAATATGACCTTGTGCAATGCCAAAATATATGTATCTACAGATTGTAGTACCCTGAAAATGAATATGTGTATTACAATAATATTTAGTATGGTTTTAATTTACTGATAACAAAATCAATATTTATACCAATAAAAAACAATATTCAAAGATCTAATTACAGTGTTGAATTAGTAACCTTTTAGAATAACTTTATTTAAAGGATTGATAAGTTTACCTGGATTGTATCTAAATTTCCTGGCTCGGTAGACAAAATCACTGTAAAAATTAGAATGTACTATTTTTAAGTAATTTGTGGTAAAGAAATCCCTGACTTAATAATTTACCAGAAAAACATAGATTACGCTCATTGAAATCCAAAACATTAACTACAAACACAGGCATAGCAAATGAGTTGGGATTTATAAAAATGGTAAGACGGTGCCAAAGGAACATCCATCACCTTCCAAAAAAGGAAAATTAACAATAGGGGGGCAAAAATCGTCCCTTTTGTAGTAAATTTTTTATGTAGAGTTTCTGGTTTAAAACTGAAATATCTAAATCTAGGAAAGGACAGTTATTGCTATTAATATATGATTTATTTAAAGTAAGTTTCTTTGGGTAAATTTTGGCAGTATATTTAAAGAATTCTTAATTATTTAAAAAAAATATTATCAAGATAACACTTAGTGTTGTTGAATTTATCAATTAAATGGAATTTAGACGGGTCTTTACTGAGTTTGGCCATGAACTGTGATTCATACCAGTACAGAAACAAGTCTGCTATTAAAGGGGCACAATTGGTGCCCATAGGAATACCTACACCCTGTCGATTAACTTTATTTCCGAAACGTATATAAATGTTGTAAAGGAGAAAATTTACGGCTTTTATCATCTCATTTCATCTCCAGTAAGAATATATAGCATATTTACCTTTGTATTCATATTTTTAGAAGTTGTTTGTTCTGCAAAGTCAAAATTATAAATGAACTCTTGTTTTTTTTTCAGAGCAGTGTCACAAAGTATGGCAGTTTATAGAAATAAAACATCTGTATGGGAATATGTCATTGGTACAGGTAAATATCAATCTGTATGGGAATCTGTCATTGGTACAGGTAAATATAAATCTGTACAGGAATTTGTCATTGGTACAGGGAATGTAAATCTGCATGGGAATATGTCATTGATACAGTTGAATAGAAATCTGTATGGGAATATGTCATTGGTACAGGTAAATATATATCTGTATGGGAATATTTCATTAAAACAGGTTAATATAAATCTGTATGGGAATACATCATTGGTACAGGTAAATAAAAATATGTATGGGAATATTTCATTAATATATGGGAATATATCATTCATACTAGAAAATATAAATCTCTCATGGGATATGTCATTGGTACAGGTAAATATAAATCTGTATGGGAATATGTCATCCATATAGGAAAATAAAAATCTCTAATGGGATATGTCATTGGTACAGGTAAATATAAATCTGTACAGGAATATGTCATAAATCTATGGGAATATGTCATTGGTACAGGTAAATATGAATTTGTATGGGAAAATGTCATTGGTGCAGGTAAGTTTATATCTGTATGGGAATATGTCATTGGTACAGGTAAATATAGATTTGTATGGGAAATGTCATTGGTGCAGGTAAATACATATCTGTATGGGAATATGTCATTGGTACAGGTAAATATAAATAAGGGTTAGGGTTAGGGTTAGGGTTAGATATGTATGGAAATATTGTTTCATTAATATACAGGAATATATCATTCATACAGGAAAATATAAATCTCTAATGGGATATGTCATTGGTACAAGTAAATAAACATCTGCTTTTTTTACCCCCACTCTAGAAGTGGTAGCTATATTTCAATCAACTTGTCTGTCCATTCATTCATCTATAGGTCAAACAAGTATGATTTTATTATTTATCATTGGTACAAGTAAATAAACATCTGTATGTAAACACTTGAATGTCAAATACATCTGTTTAGGAAAACATTTATATTATTGGTACAGGTAGATAAACATCTGTATGGGGAAACATGTATGGCATTGCATTGGTACAGGTAAATTTATATCTGTATGAAAAATGTCTATCCTAATAATTACGAAGTTAGCTGTAATTTGATATGACATGATTTTCTGACAATTGAAATTTTAATTGCAGGTGTGGGATGCAGTCTCAGTAGATTTATGCATGGTCCTGAAGGAATGTTTGGAGGATTTCTTATAGGAAGTGTCATTGGGTAAGAAAATTACCTTTTTTTTTACCTCTAGACCAATATATGTTAAATTGCAATAAGAAAACAATGCAAAATTTTGTTGAACAGGGCAATATTTTTGTTGCATTGCATTTTTAAATTGAGTATAATTATTGAAGAAGTTGTCGGAATATCTACACTTACCATTGCCAGGGTCCCGCATCAATCGTCAATTTACATTTCAATTTTTTTTTTTTTCTTCTTTAGAAAAACTGATTGAAACCAAATTTGAAATGACTATTGTACAAGGTCATATCTTTGGTTGTATGGTGCTGATTCCTTAAAAATAATGACCGCTTGTCTTTTTATTGATTGGCTGGATTTTTTTTTAAAAATGGTTTCAATTGAAATTTTTAAAATTGATAGAAATGTTTTTTAAGGTATATAACAAGTGTTGTAACTTTGGTGCTAATCTGAAAGTAAAATGTCTGCAAGTTTACTTTGAAACCCTGTTGAAAATAAGATTACCGGTAGGGTTTCTTTTCAAGAAAAAATTAAATAAAATGAAGTAATGCAGAAATGTTCTTTTGAAGCTACTTTCTAAGTGTTGTAGCTTTTGTCCAGATTAAAAGTCAAACACAGCTTAAGATAACCAAAAAGGAATTAGAGTAGTGTTGTTACTACATGTACTTAAAATACTTTACTTTTCTACTCAGCTATGAAGGGGTAGTTTTGCTAGGTGCGATTTTCATTCTCCTGGAGCCTTCAGTTCAACATACATGTATCTTATTTTATAGTTAATCATTTTCTCAAACTGGTAATTTGTAGATTATTTTGAAGCCACAGACTAAGTTGCATAAACCCCTTTGGAATTAAAAGATGAACTTAAGTTCTGTTCTGATAAGCATTGCTCAATTAGTGACACCAGTTACTTTACCCATGTTAAAATCTGACGATAATTCATAGTTGGTAATAATTGGTCAATCAAGAGCAGATTTAATATGCATGATTCTGCAACAATCTGTTTATCAGTTTAAAATGAACACAATCTTTTAACAAAGGGGACAAAATGTGAATTAGATGGACACTGGTAAAAATACTGTGTATGAATCTTATATATTTATCCAATGTGGAATATAATCTTACATTTAAAAACAAAAACAAACTAAAACAGGAGCTTTTTTTAATTGCTTTTCACTTACAACTGACACATTGTCTTCTTTTTATTATGTGTCTGAATTATTGTTTCAGGTTAGGTATAGGTATTCCTGTGGTGTTGTTGATGAAAAGTTTAAATAAAACACAAGAGGATAGACATAGGGATCAAATTAGAGAATTGTTGCGATATAAAAAGTATGTATATAATGTAAAGTATTGTAAATTATGATTATGTCTCCCCTTTGATGAAAGGAGACTTTATCTTTGTGTGGTGTTTCTTCTTCTTCTCCTGGTTTTTCTTCATTTGGTTCTTCTGGTTCTTGTCATACAACCTTGTCCAGTTTGTAACTTTTTTATCTTTTTACATTGAATTATGATATTTGGCACGAAGGTGTATTACCATTATTAATAAGGTGTGTCATATATCATCATGATTTTCATGTGACCTTGACATTTGACCTCAAGGTCAAAATAGTTGATTTTGTTGTCGAGCCTGCGACTTTTGTTGCAGAAAGCTCGACATAGGGATAGTGATCCGGCGGCGGCGGCGGCATTAGCTAACTTCTTAAAAGCTTTATATTTTAGAAGGTGGAAGACCTGGATGCTTCATACTTTGTATATAGATGCCTCATGTTACGAAGTTTCCATCAGTCACATGTCCAATGTCCTTGACCTCATTTTCATGGTTCAGTGAGTACTTGAAAAAAAAGTTCAGATTTTTTGGAATGTTAAATTCTCTCTTATTATAAGTAATAGGATAACTATATTTGGTATGTGCTTACCTTGCAAGGTCCTCATGCCCGTCAGACAGTTTTCAATTGATCTCGACCTCATTTCATGGATCAGTGAACAAGGTTAAGTTTTCGTGGTCAAGTCCATATCTGAGATACTATAAGCAATAGGTCTACTATATTTGGTGTATGTAATGATAGTAAGGTGTACATGTCCAACTGGCAGGTGTCATCTGACCTTGACCTCATTTTCATGGTTCAGTGGTCATAGTTTAGTTTTTGTGTTTTTGTCTGTTTTTTTAATACTGTATGCAATAGGTCAACTGTATTTGGTATATGGAAATATTTTACGATGTACATGTCAGTCTGGCAGGTTTTATTTGACCTTGACCTCATTTTCATGGTTAATGGCTTATGTTAATTTTTTTGTGTTTTGGTCTGTTTTTCTTACACTTTAAGCAATAGGTCAACTGTATTTGGTGTGTGGAAATATTTTACGATGTTCATGTCAGTCTGGCAAGTTTTATTTGACCTTGACCTCATTTTCACGGTTCATTGCTCAATGTTAAGTTTTTGTGTTTTGGTCCGTTTTTCTAATACTGTATGCAGTAGGTCAACTGTATTTGGTGTATGGAAATATTTTACGATGTACATGTCAGTCTGGCATGTTTTATTTGACCTTGACCTCATTTTCAAGGTTCATTGCTAAATGTTAAGTTTTTGTGTTTTGGTCTGTTTTCCTAATACTGTATGCAGTAAGTCAACTATATTTGGTGTATGGGAATATTTAATGATGTACATGTCAGTCTGGCAGGTTTTATTTGACTTGACCTCATTTTCATGGTTCATTGCTTATGTTAAGTTTTTGTGTTTTGGTCTGTTTTTCTTACACTTTAAGCAATAGGTCAACTATATTTGGTGTATGGAATGATTGTAAGGTGTATATGTCTGTCTGGCAGGTATCATCTGACCTTCACCTCATTTTCATGGTTGATTGGTCAATGTTCAGTTTTCCGGGTTAACTTTTTTTCTTAGATACCTTAAGCAATAGGTCAACTATATTTGGAATGATTTTAATGTGTCCATGTCTGTCTGGCAGGGTTCAAATGACCTTGACTTCATTTTCATGGTTCATTGGTCAATATAGAATTTCCATGGTTTGGTCTGTTTCTTTTATACTATAAGCAATAGGTCATCTATATTCTGTGTATGGAGGGATTGTATTAAAGGTGTACATGTATTTCCGGCTTGGTTTATCTGACCTTGACCTCATTTTCTTGGATCATAAATGTTAATGTGATACTTGTAGTAAAACTTTATATGTAGGACTATCAACATAAAATCAATGGTCAGTATAGTAGGGAGACATTTCAGCGTGTGCACTCTTGTTTTACAATTTAGTGTCCTGAACATAATGATTTTCCTTTTGACATATACTTTTGATATTAGGCACATGGGTGCAGCACCTCAACACAATGTGTCACATACCATGAATGACCCCACTGTCATATAATTAATCGCTAAATATCTCAATATAGATCAGATCCCCACTATTAAACCTTATATGAACTTAATTGCCTTAATAAGACCCTTCAAGTTCACTATAGGATTTCTACCTGGGGTGACATGCCCCACCCCTGCATAACATTACTTGTTAAATATCTTGAAAAACGTAAAATCCTCACCCCTAAACCATATATATTCTTAATTGTAATGGATGACCTTTACAGTATACCAAAGATTTTTTTGTGCTTTGGGGACTTGACCCTACCCCTCATATTGTTAATTGTTGAATGTATCAAAAACTGTTAAGATCCTCACCCCTAAATCTGAAATGCTATGACCAAATCTTTTAATTGCACCAGATATTTTGTCCTTGGTGGGGGTTGGGAGGTCATGCCCCACATTCATACCATAAATTGTTAAATTTATTGAAAACAGTTTAGGGTCTTACCCAGTAACCATATATATTAGTTTTAGTCTGATTATACAGTTCTACCTATTTATTCATTGAGTTTATGAAAAGTTTATATTTTAGTGAACTTTTAATGCATTGAATGGTTAATAGTTTTTGCGAGATTGTTTGGGCATGCATTTACTTCAGTTGTATGGCCATTTTTGTCGAGCCTTCGACTTTAGTCGAAAAAGCGAGACATAGCGATCCCTTTTCGTCGGCGTAGTCGGCGGCTGCGTCCACAAATATTCCCTCTGTGGTTTAAAGTTTTTGAAATTTTAATAACTTTCTTAAACTATCCTGGATTTCTACCAAACTTAGACAGAAGCTTGTTTATGATCATAAGAAAGTATCCAGAAGTAAATTTTGTAAAAATAAAATTCCGTTTTTTCCGTATTTTACTTATAAATGGACTTAGTTATTCTGCCGGGAAATATTACATTCACTCTGTGGTTAAAGTTTTTAAAATTTTAATAACTTTCTTAAACTATCCTGGGTTTGTACCAAACTTGGACAGAAGCTTGTTTAGGATCATAAGATAGTATCCAGAAGTAAATTTTGTAAAAAAATAAATCCATTTTTTCCTTATTTTACTTTTAAATGAACTTAGATTTTCTGCCAGGAAACAACACATTCACTCTGTGGTTAAAGTTTTTAAAATTTTAATAACTTTCTTAAACTATCCTGGGTTTGAACCAAACTTGGACAGAAGCTTGTTTAGGATCAAAAGCTAGTATCTAGAAGGAAATTTTGTTAAAAAATAAATCCATTTTTTTCGTATTTTACTTTTAAATGGACTTAGATTTTCTGCCAGGAAACAACACATTCACTCTGTGGTTAAAGTTTTTAAAATTTGAATAACTTTCTTATACTATTATGGATTTGTACCAAACTTGGACAGAAGCTTGTTTATGATCAAATGCTAGTATCTCAGGGCTGCCAAGTCTCACGCATTTAGCGTGAGACTCACACATTCTCATGCTTATTTGGCGGCATTTTCCTTTGATCTATTGTTTTTTCTCTTTGATCTTTACAATTTTGGCCAAATCTCACACATTTGCATTATTAAAAGTTGGCAGAACTGGTATCTAGAAGGAAATTTTGTTTTCTTCCAGTTAACATTACATTCAGTCTGCAGTTAAAGTTATTAAAAATTTATTAGATTCATAAACTATCCTGGATTTTTACCAAACTTGGACAGAAGCTTCTTACAATCAAAAGATAGTATCAAGAGGAATATTTTTATTGATTTACTTCCTCATTTTTGTTGAGCCTGCGATTAACAGAAAAAGTAGGCGAGACACTGGGTTCCGCGGAACCCTTACGAATTTTTAAAAAAATTCTGAGGAAAAGACCATCATCTTCAGAACCATTGACCACTTATGCTGGATTACAATAATATATGTCTGTATTTTTTTCATTATAGGAAAATTCGTGGAGAAATTAAGAAACCATTGACTATTATACATGTGTTAGAAGAAACAAAGCCAAAACAAGGAGCTACTTCTGTATCAGAAGAAACAAAACCAAAAGAAGGAGTTACTTCTATATCAGAAGATATAAAAAAACCAAAACAAGAAGCTTCTTCTATATAAGAAGAAACAAAACCAGAACAAGAAGCCAAATGAAAGTAAAACTAGATACATATTGCTGGTTATGTACAACCAGGTTGAACACCTGTTTTATTTGGGACATTATAATAGTCAAAAGCATAACTAGGATGAAAAAACTTTGACAAATAATTTCTGGCTTGGTCAACATTTGACTGTGATAAAGTGCAAAATTAAAAAGTTGAAATTTATTTTGATTTGATTTTTGCCATACGGTATATTACCAAAGTAAAGTATTTTACATTTTTACCCAATGTGTCAATACTCAAAAGCTCTAAATGCTGCTTACTGGAGTTGGTTCTGGTAACCTCAGGACAAAAACTACTATTTTAAGATTATGTTGCTAAACTTCGCTTGATGTCCTGCTTCCATTATCTCTGACAATTTCTTTTCTTGAATGGCTGAAAGGATTGATACTAAACAAGGCAAAAAAAAATATTTCAAAGCAGAACAAAAGATTGTTACTTTGGTTCCTATTGTATAATTAATATAAATGTTTTAATACTTTTTTTTATTGGATGACAATTCATGGATCTCTTTCTTGAATGCTATGCAACAAATTGAAACTAAACAAGACTAGAAGGTTCAGAATTTGGTTCTTACTAACAGTTTTAAGGTATTCCATCAATTGGACCATGATCAAATATTTATAAAAAAAAAAATTATATTAATCGAACCAAAAGTTATTGACTTTACTTGGAACATATAATTATGTGATATTTTAAAGTAGAAAATAAATAATCATAAAAAAATTTAAAATCTTCTAAAGAAACAACTGCTGTGAAAGAACTTTTATTTGGGGGGCACCAATTTTCGTGGTTTTCGTGGATGGCTCTATCCACCAATTTAAGTGTCCAAACGAAATATTAGAACTGTTGTCCAAATCAAGACATGAGTTATATTTTTTAGGAAACTGTTTTCTTTAAGTGACTATTAATGGCCCAATTAACACCTTTGGTGATCCTTAATCTGTTGAAAAATCAATCTCGGATTAATTAGTGTCCTCACTTCTGATTACAAGTGTGCAACAATTAAAATGTTTACTTTGCAATTTCCTTCAATCGAGAAAAATTTGTAAGCATAAATGAATCAGCTTCATTCCGAAAGCAATTATTTTATCAAAAGATTGATGAATGTTGTCAGTAATTAAAGACAAACAAGTAAGTGAAAATGAGCACCTTGTTTTGCAATGTCCCACAAATTATTATAAAACAACATATGATTACTTTCACGAGTATTCATTTCAGATGGCTTCAAATTCTTCATTCGATTTTTTTTCTCAAAAAACTCAAATCCACGAATTTAAGAACCCATGAACATATAACTTTTGCTCAAACCACGAAAAATGATACCTACATATAAAAGTACTTTCACAGTAGATGATCTGAAGTTTTCAAAATTTTACTGAAGTCAATGTTTGCTTTGCAAAGAATGTCCATGTCTTTTAGGTAATAATGAGGCTAACTATTGTCCTGGAAACCATATATTGTGTTTATGTGTGGCAAATAAGATTGTATGGGGACATTGCCACCTTTGTTAGGTACTAAAGAAAGAGTGGACACACTGAAGTATCAAGCCTTTCTTACTGACCATGATTGAATTTATGTTGACAGTCTTTAAGATAAAGGTTTTACTACAAGTATCAGATAAACTTAACATTTAATATCAAGATCAATGCAATTGAGGCCAAGGTCAGAGTCGCTGTCAGATGAACCCTACCTAACAGACATGTACACTTTATAATCAACTCATACGTCAAACAGTTAACCTATTGCTAATAGGTCTCTGAGAAACAGATCTTACCATAAAAACTTAATTCATCATTGTTGATCAATGAACCAATTAAATAAGGTCAAGGTCAGATGAACTCTGCAAGACCCACAATTACACCATACAATCATTTATACATCAAATGCTTATAGTATCTGAGAAACGAATCAAGCAAAAAACCTTAGCATTGACCAATGGACCATAAAAATGTGGTCAAGGTTAAATAACATTGTCAGGACATGTACTCCTTACAATCATTCCAAACACCAAATATAGTTGACCTACTGCTTATAGTATCTGAGAAAAATCATCAGAACTTAACATTGACCAATGAACCATTAAAATGAGGTCATGGTCAAATGAACAATGCCAGACAGACATGTACTGACAATCATTCTGTACACCAAATATAGTAGACTTATTGATTATAGTATCTGAGAAACAGATCAAACCACATAAAATATAACATTGACCAATGAACCATGCAAATGAGGTCAAGGTCAGATGAAACTTGCCAGATGGATATGTACACCTTACAATTACTCCATTCACAAAATATAGTTGACCCACTAATTATGGCATCAGAGAAAAGGAACATGAAAATGAGTTCAAGGACAGATGCCCATCACAATACTTGCCAGATAGACATGCACACATAACAATCATTCCGTACACCAATTATAGTTGACCTATTGCTTATATTATTTGAATAATAGACCCAAATACAAAAGAATCACATTGACCAATAAACCATGAAAATGAGGTTAAGGTCAGATGAAATCTGCCAGACAGACATGTACACCTTCAGCCTTTCCATACAACTATAAAGTTGACCTACTGCTCACAGTATCTGAGAAAAGGACATAATCACATACTTTTAACCTTGATCAATGATCCATGAAAAGAGGTCAAGGTCAGGTGAACCCTGTCTGACAGACAAGTAGACCTTGCAAGGGACCCATATACCAAATATAGTTATCCTGTTACTCATAATAAATGGATTGTAATTCCCATGTCTCTCATTCTGGGAGTTTCATTGGATTCGAGACAAAAAACAAACATTTGAAAGCATTGAAGGAAAGTTGATTCAACTATGCATCCCCTTTGCATATTTATAAAACTGTCCACTCCTTAACTTGAAAATCACTTGGAGTTCAAGAATGAAACTTTCCATTAATATCCAACCCTACTAGAAGGTGAGTCATGTACACAGAAGAAAACCGGACATTGATGATCATGGTAAAAAAAAGTAAATTGAGCGTAGACAAAGATCCCTGTAAAGTACATATAGACATCTTATACGTTCAGGTATTTCACATCCAATATTTTATGGTAATATTCTTTACAAAGCACAAAAATGTCGGCATTCACCTCAAAAGCTAACCAAACCTTTAAACAGACTTATTCGGAAAGGATATAGTTACGATACTGTTGTCAAGTCATTAAGGATTGCATATTTTGGTATTAATATTGAATGGGTCTTTGCATCAGAAATAAACACATTTATTCTAAAACCAGTTGTTGGCATGAAACGGGTTATGTTCTTCTCACATATTTTATGATGGTATGATACCTAACCCCTAACGGGAGGGATTGTACTTGATTTTTATATGAGGAAGACATAATCTTTCAATCAGTTTAATTGAGGTCTGGAGCTGGCATGTCAGTAACTGCTAGTAGTCCTTTGTTCATTTATGTATCATTGTCATTTTGCATAGTTTCTTTTTTTACCTATTCTGACATCGGACTCTGACTTCTTAGGTCAGGAGCCTCTGGCCTTTGTTAGTCTTGTATGTTTTTTAATTTTAGTTAATTTATATGTTTTGGAGTTTAGTGTGGCGTCCATTTTCACTGAACTAGTACACAATTTTATTTAGGGGCCAGCTGAGGACCACCTCTGGGTGCGGGATTTTCTCGCTGCGTTGAAGACCCATTGGTGGCCTTCGGCTGTTGTCTGCTCTTTGGTCGGGTTGTTGTCTCTTTGACATATTCCCCATTTCCATTCTCAATTTTATAGAGAGGGAACATTGAATGGTATAATGAATTTTTTTCCCACTTTGTAGCAGTGGTTAAACTTCAATGTTAAAATGTTATTATGTATCATAATTAAATTCAACATAAAAGTTGAACATCCCTTATATTAGGTGTTCATCAGTACAAGAGGTAGGGCCAATTTCCCATGTATGTGTTGCACTCATATTGTCAAAATCTGAAAATGGTTAAAACCTTCTGATAATCGATTATGATATTTTTACAGAAATTACCCAAATTTTTACATATTTCAATATAGCAAACTGTACATGTTTTTGTAAAATGTTGAATTTTGTATTCAAAAGGCAATTTATAGCTTTACTTCCCACATAATTTTGATTTAGGATGTTCTTCCAATACATTTTTTTTTATAAAATACCCCAAAATTTGCCAAGATCTGTCAAATTGCTGTTTTGAGCCATCGTTAGGCATTGGTCACATATTCAATTAAAAGCTGCGCCATGAGTGCATGATACGCCCGTTGCTTTTTCAACGAATAAAGTTCCATAACTCCTCCATGTCAAAAAATAACTAAAGGGAGGTTATTTAAATAGATATAAACCATTCACTAAAGTTTCATGAAAACTGCTCAAAGCACTTTTGAGTTATTGTCTGAAAACTGGAAAATCCCCCCTTTTTTATGAATAAAATCCCACAACTCGGAAACTTAAAATCTAAAATTTATAAACATCGAAAGGGAGCTTACGTCAATAGATATAAACAATTCACCAAAGTGTCATGCAAATTGGTTAAAACGTTTTTGAGTTCCTGTTCGACATGTTGATGACGGACGGACAGACAGATGGACAGACTGAGAACAGTATACCATAATACATCCCGTAAACAGGCATATAAAAATATATCTTTAATTAAAGTACACATTTGATTCTGTGAAAGTAAGAAGAGACTGAAGGCCTTTTTGAAATGCCATTGTGTGAAATAAATTCAGGGGAAATTGGCACTATCGTTTTCTGCCTTTCATGGGTATATGTTGTGTTTAATGGAATAACCCCAATTACTTCTAACATTACATTAACATACCGGTAATACTTATTTGCACTCAGAAAGAGCCTTTGTGATGGCTCCAATCACTATCCTTGAGAGTTTTACCTAATAAGATTTCAAAGTTTATATCAACACCAAATGAAACCCTCTGTTGGAAATTCCTATAGATTTATTGCATAAAGGTTTCAGTACCATTCATTCAATGAGAATATTATGTGCAACTTACAACTTGTTATATATTGACGGGGCTTGCTCATTGTTGAAGGTCATACAGTAAATTCTTTATGTTTTTTCTTAGGAGCCATTAAATGTTTGGTTGCTGTCAGAGTTATGATCATGAAGCTCTTTTCAGACAAAGAAGGGCCTACCTATCTCAAAATTTGTACGGAGTGTATTATAAAATAGCACGAGAACAGACAACCACAACCCAAAAATTATCCTGTTTGAAATTTTTTACCAATGATAATTTTACCTTTAAATTTGTTGTACACAGCTGATCAATACCAATTGAAACTCAATGCACTTTTGCAAGTGGAATATTTTCAATTCAAAATTATAGGTTTTCTTCCTGTCTAACAGAGTTTGACAGTGATGTTAAAGATGTCCATTTCATTATTTCACAATGAACCTGATGACTTGATTACAGTTGTACAGTTGTAGTTGTCAGAAAAGCTGTATCTATAAACCTAATTCACTTGCATGACAAAAACTAACTTTGAGATGCTAAATTTATTTTTATTGCCATTCATTGGAGACAACAACCCATCAACATCAGAATATCAGGTGTACATTAATATCATGTTATTATATGAAGTTAAACCATCAAAATCAAAACAACTGGTGAATAATATAATCATGTACTATAACATGATACAGTTAAATCTATGATATATAGGAGTAACCTGTAGAAAATATTCCTTTCCTGAGACTCACAACTAGTATCACAAATCTTAGGCTCTAAAGATATAATTTGAAACAAGTTATCTCCCTTTATAAGTAGTGAAATGCTGGTTTATTGCAATTCAAAGCTACAGTGGAAAGGTTAGAAAATTACAATCATTTTAATATCATAAAGTTGAGATAGAATAAAAGCATATTTGCAGCAAAATATTGTTAAAAAGTTACAATATTCATATCAACAAAATATAACATTTTCTAACTGGTTTGATAACTTTTTGATAAGCCACACATTTATCAAATTGCTGCTTAAGATTTCCTGCAAATCTATTCTTATTATTATACTCAAAGTTTTTCTATAATTATTACAGTAATGGATTCTACCAATTTTACTCTCTTTATTATATTCATTTTTTCTTGATAGTTAGAGGTCATTATCAATAAGGTTTTATTGTAAAATCACAGTTCTTGCCAGCCAATGAAATAAGTTGCTTCAAATCATAATTTCAAAGTAAAGGAACATGATTCTGGAAATGAGTTTTGAGAAAGGACTTAGATACCATAAACCCTTCAAATGGGAATAGAGGATGGACATTAATATAATTGTTAAACATAATAGAACAACCTTAAATATTACCAGTGTAATCTATAAAATGTAATAACATCATACTATAAAACATTCATGTCAAAACCTTTTTATACAATAAACACATATTAAAGTTTACAAATATTTCTGAATATTGAGTTTTGGAAGTGTTTTCTAATTCTTACAAATTTTTAGTCCAAGAAGGTTGTATATATGGGAATGATTTTGTAAGCAACCCAATAACAATCATGTCTGTCCTCTCTTCAAATAATTTTATAAATGAAAATTTTGAAACTCGAAATAATTGTATACTCACACACCTTTTGTTGTAATGATCATTTACAGTAAAATCTGACAAATGTAGAATTTTCTTGTTACGAAAAAAGCGTTTTGTTTTCTAACTATTTGAAAAACTATTTTTCATATGCTATATTATATTGTGCTCAAACTTAGGGAAGTTCTCATTTAACATATTACACTACAGACACCACATTTATATCACACGTATAACAAAGTAATAATTTATCACAGAAGTAATTCTAAATTATTATTTCCTACTATTTACAAACAATTAAAACTATTGTTTTCATTCTTTTATGGGTTCTTCTTCTGTAATCAACTCATAATGCTGCCCTAAAAATAAAAGCAATGAACAAATTAATAGGATTATAAATTCTAAATATAGCTTGATTTTCATTTTCTAGCATGCCAGTCTGTCCTTGTCACAGGAACATTTGATATAAGAAAATTGCCTTTGTGTGAATGTCATGATTTAAAAGTTATGTCTGTTCTAGTAAAAATAATTAAAGGAAAATTTAAATACAAAACTGATTATTTATTAAAAGATAAACAATTTAAAAATATGTTGTCTCATTGTATATATACAGGTCTTCTTGATGCATTCACATTACATTTCATTATAGGAATAAGTGATTTAAATTCAAGTGTTATTCTTTGCTGCATATCAATCTATTTTGTGGATATTTTTCCTAAAACCTCTGGTATAAATATATACTGAAATTTCATCTGTAACTTCTTATGGTATGACTATGTACCAAACATCTAGTAAAAAATTGAAGTTTTACTAAAATAGGAGTAAAGAAAACTTAAGTATTACAGGTGCATGGCATGCAAACCAATAGTCCCTTTTGGCTCCACTGGAAAGGGACTACTGAGATGCCCATCATCCCTGAGTATTCATCATTTTTTTGTTTAATTTTTAAATTAAATCATTAATTTATTAGGAGTAGGGATGAATTAAAAAAATTGCAGATGCTGGAAATACATTCCCACTTTGCTAAGCAGAGGTATACTAAATTTAAACATTGTATGAAATGAAAAACAACAAACACTTTCAAAATAAGCAGTAAAAGGAGTAGGGGCAATAAGGCCCTTATTTGGCCCAAATATTACTGCAAATTTAAAAGTTATCATACATATTCTTATATTTGTCCAAACTAGACTAAGGTACAAGGTATTCAGAAAATAAAAACAAATTTCACATAGAACGAGTTACTATGGCAACAAACTATGACAAAATTTGCATATTTTGTAAAATTTCTTGATTTTCCTTGTTTTTCATCAAATTTTAAGTAAAGTTTAGATTGGAAAAGTATGTGCGCACCCAAGAAACAACTTTATATTTGGTGAGATTACGTCAATAGTTATAACAAAGCTTCTCTTAAATTATTTTGTTGTTTCTTGGCTGCGCACGATGCTTTCACAATGGAAATAACGACAGAAAACTGCATAAATTCTGTATTTTTCATTGTTTTTGTGAAAACGATACAGATTATGACATAATTGTAATGTCATCAGATAAAAATCTTTATGTTTTTCATTTATATTTCTTGACCCTATGCCAAAACCGGGCCTTAATGCCCCTACTCCTTTAAGCAACAAATATAATGTGCAATTCAATGAACACAGCTAAGCCTGACAACTGACATGCTTTTCTAATATATTAGCATACTTTGCATAATCATGTATGATGGCCAAATTCTAATGGTTGCTTGTTAATACTGTATCTTTTTAATATACTAGTTATATGTAGCAATGAATCAACCATCAAATATCTATCAATCACATATAAATTCTGAAGATATATCATTTTGATGTACCATTAAAGTTTAACAAAGGCAATGAAAGTGGATCAAACACACTGCAGTCCAGCAGATTATTAAATAGATATTTCTAGTATGCTATTGTATAAACTAGTACCCAGCTGTTATTTGACAAGTTTGACAATACTTGAATATTCATTTCTGAAGGCATACTGAATATATTATGGAGGGAACCAACCTAGCTATTGTAAGACTCTGACCTTTAACATTTTAACATTTTTCATTGTGAATAAATGTACATGTAGGAGATTTCCTGAAATGCCTTCATCATGTTGATAGAGTTAGTTTAACTTGAACCTAATGCTAGATATCTTGAAAATCAATACTGTTCATCCTATTATATATAGACAAGACTACTAAAATATCTAAACAAGACTGCACTGAAATAACTAATGTAAATTAAACTCTAACCTTGATTATACTCACATGAAACTTTATTAAGATGAGTGATACAATTTAGTTTTTATTGTATAACCATTGCGGTTTGTAACTCATGAATACACATTAACTCATTTAGGACTTATAGTACCATTAATAATTAGTATCAACTGTATTATACTGTTCTCATACAAACTTTACATGCATCTATATTATAATATGTATACAGTCACTGTACATACTTAACATGCACCTATTTTCTAGACTACTGGAATTCTAATTCAGCAGAATTGTTAAGTTTCTAAGTTTCTAGTTTTGGTCTTACCATGGGTATTTTTTGTTCTGGATTTTGGTTGGTCTAAAGAAAATGTTAACACATACATAAATTAATAAACACAGTTATTTCTCTTGTAATATTAATTATTCCAGTACATGTATTACTATATGGAAACCAGTTAAGAAGAAAGTCAATATGAATGCTGTATGGCAAAATAACACAGAGACAGGAAAGTTCAACCATTGATTTCTTGATTTCTGGCTTCTAATTGTGCAGCAGATGCTTCATGCATATTCAGGACAAAAACAAATTAACAATATCTTAGAATATGAAACTTGCATTGACTAGGAGTAGGGCCAAATAGTTTTAATTGACACTGGTAAACAAGGTCCTATTGGTAAAGTCAGAAGTTATGATATTTTAGGAAGTCTTCACCATCTTGGATCTAATATGACAGCAAATGATCAGTACAGATTTTTTAAAAAGCAAGTTTTATGGAGGAATGCAATCTATTTGCCAGACCTTTCCTTTAAATGTAGGAATTCATGTTATTTTATCTTATGATAAAACCTTTATCTACAAATAAAGAACTTTTTTTTCTTGACCAATTAAAAAAATATAAATAACGCTCTAAGGGTAGATAACTCAAATAATTTAGTTTTATACAGCAATGAACAGTATATTTGTCTAGTTTGTTATAATGTAAAAGGAAACATATAGGCCAATACTTTTTGTCTTTTTGCTTACTACCAGCATTTTATAAGAGCTATCTTCTTATCATTTATTTCAAAATTATGTCATTTAGTTGTCTTTCTATTCATATAATAAGGTTTTTTAGCCCAATACTTGAAAACTATTTTTCTTTTGCTCTTTTCTTATCTTGGGGTGTAATATTGAGCAAAGGAAAAGAACAATGATATTTCAAAGGAGTATTACATTGTTTTATTAATTATATAGGTCAAAACAAAAGGACAAAAGTCATTTAGAGTCTATAAACTTACAACAGAGAGAAGGTAAATTAACAATGTTCACTGCATGCCATGGAGTAGAGAAGAAACACCATCTTGTTTTCAAATATAAAAATGACAGAAAAACTATAACCAGTACAAAGAGGAAGAGAGGGATAAGTCTGGTCTACATTTAAAGAAAGTTGATAAAACATACAGGAGGAAAATTCTACATTCATTATAAACCTAGAGACAAGGGAAACAACCTACCCTTAGTCTATATCTAAGACATCAAATAACTAGAAAAAAGTTCTTAAAAGCTTCTTAGAATGAGTAACAATCTGGTTTCCATCTAAATAAAGATGCTTTACATTTGAAGGAAGGCCCACAGTCATAAGTTGGAACAATGTGAAGGAGGGTTGGAGGAAATCTGATCTACATTCATATACAGGAAGTAAAAATCACAGCCATTAGATGCTGAAAGAGAAGGAACACTGCCTTTTCTATAACAGAACAGAAGACCATTTGTAAGATGGGAAGGGAGACAATCAGGTTTAAATCTAATAACACATCTATAGGAAAGATGGAGAAAAAGAACTAGAATCTGAACAAAAAGAAATAGAAAATGGTTATTGTTTTTCACATAAATAAACCTTGATCTACAGTAAAGAAGATAAATCTTTCATTACAGACTGAAAAAAGGGGGAAACAATCTGATTAACATCCATAGGAGATAGTCTACATCTAAACAACAGAAAAAACTGTCATCACATGCAGGAGTAAAGAAAAGGTCATCAATTCATATATTCAATTTACTTACACAGTAAAATTGGAGAAGAAGAAGGGAGAAAGGTAAACAGTTTAGTTAAGAAAAGATGGTCTGTCGATAGGAATTCAGCAATCAGATAGGATTCTACGTAAGTTGGTAGGAAGGAGTGAATCAACAATAACCATTACCTTTAAAAGTAACAGTTTCACCGTCATGAACCCATCTGACCCTAGCATGTTTTGAAGCTCTGGCTCGTACTGTGATCTCTAATTCACTGTGTAATGGAACACGCTTGGAATCAGGACGGACAATAATTTCCGGTGGATGATGAATGTGATGATGTGAAACACTGTGTTCAACAGTATGAGCTTCTGCTGTTGATTTGGTGACACGCCGAGTTGAAACTTCTAAAATCTCACATGAACTTCCACCAACTGATAACTGCTTTTGAAGCTGATGTCTATTAATAAATATTAGTAGTTGTTCCTTAGTAATTATAACTACCAACAAATTCTCAGCCAATTAATAGCTAATGGTAGTTATCGGACTACCAACAATATTCAGCCAAACAATTCTGCTAAATGTTGTTAGTTATAAAATCTTGCTACATAGCAGCCAAATTTGCTACAGAGTACAATATAAAATTAAAGCTAGCTAAAAGATTTCCCAGATTATTTACTTTTGTTCATAATTTTGTTAAGGTTTAACAAAATAATTTTTTTGTGACATCAGAAAAAAAGTTTAAATTTTTAATGTCCTTTTCAATAAGAGCTCAATTTACATGAGTTTTTCAAATAGACATTATTTTATGTTTTGGGTATCCAGGATATCTTTTATCACTATGTCAACTAAACAAATGAGGAAAAATCAAATTATACTGTACCAGCAATTCAGAATTCAAATCAGGATTATCAAATGTTGCTCAGCAATTTTTTTGAAAGAAAAAAGAAATTGAATTAAGAGGACTACTTTTCCTTTTTTCTGAAAATTCTAAAGTTAATGAGTTTATTTACTAAGTGAAATTATAATGAATATGAATTTTCTGAAAATTCTCAAGGCACTAAATTGTGTTCTATGAATATGAAACTGATTTTTTTTAAATTAATAAGAAAATGGAAGGAAAATAAAGTTATAAAATTCATCAAAATTAATAAATTTGGTTACTCTATGGACACTCTCATTCAAAAATGACTATATTTTGAATCCTGAGTTTTACAGAACTAAATAATAACATAAAAATAACTAAAACAGCTGCCTTTGAAATGTAAACAACTAAATGGTCAATATAATTAATTAAACAAGATATGTCTCAACAATCATTATTTAGGTGATGACTGAAACCTAAATTCAAATGCAAGATAAAGAATTATTACAGCCAGTACTATCCATGTTAAATTAACATTCAGTGTTAAATAATACCTTATCTGATTAGCTACATCTTGTTGTGTGGAGTCAATTGGAGACACTGAGGACTGCTTTAATTCACAAATTTGACCTACAATAACATGTACAGGGTTACACATTCTACCAACAATAAACATATACAAGGGCACTGTACAATAGACACTTTCAATTTGTCATAAAATTCAAAATTATCAGTCAAGTGCAGTCATCAGAATTATCATGCGTGACTTAAGTTATTCACAAACTCAAAACCAGGTTCATAAATGGAATTTAAATTTTCAATTTTCTGTTCATAGTTACTACATCCAATTCGCTTTAGTCAGTGATGGTCTAAAATTTAATTCTGAAAATTGATGCCCTAAATTTGAGACAGACCAAGTTTGGTCTTTGTTTGCCCAGAAATTCTGTAGAAGATTATTTTAATTGTTTACAGTAAACAAAAGAACAGAATTTCATTGTCCAGTGATGGCAAAAGCTTAAACATGTTTTTTTCTGCATGTGAGCTTATAATGAATCACTAACCTTTCCCAGCTGTCTCCAAAACATTTGCCTGACTCGACTCCAACTTCTGAACTGATTTGGCTGACATTTTAGATAATCCAGCTCCATCTACTTCTTCTATACTTTCTGAAGTCATTGAAACAGCTGTCTGTCTTTGCAATTCAAATGTTTCTTCTGTAGATATGTTCATAGACTGTAATGAACTACTTGAACTCTTAGATTTCACTATACTTGTATTGACAGTAATCGTAGAGTCTGGAATGTTATTTTTGTTCATTGACAGTTCAAGATCTTCAGTCTCTGACTCAAGCCTCAGATTCTCAGCTTCTTCAAATGTCATTCTATGTTTCTTCTTTCTTCTGGTTATGTTCAACATTTCATCTGCTCCTGGCATCACCCTTGAATCTTTTTCTTTTTCCTGTGCCTCAGCAGGAAGTCTTATCTTATCTGATTCAGCAACAAATGAAACTTTTTCTGCTTCTTCTACAGCAATTCGTGTTTTCTCTGCTTTTGCAGCAATTCTAGCTTTCTTTTCTTCTTCTACAGCTATTTTAGCTTTTTCTACCTCTTCTGCAGCAATCCTGGATTTATCTGCCTCCTCTGCAGCAATTTTTGCTTTTTCTGCTTCTTCTAGGGCATTTCTACCTTTCTCTGGTTCTGCAGCAATTCTGGCTTCCCCAACTTGTTCTGTAACTTCATTTCTGTCTTTCCCTGACAATTCATTTTCTGCATTTCCATAACCATCCACATCTTCTGCTTCAAGCCTGAGTTTCTCAGCTTCTTCAAATGTCATTCTGTGTTTCTTTTCCTTAGGTTTAGATGTTTCTTCGTGTTTTTCATTTGCTTCAGAAATTCTGGCTTTCTCAGCTTCTTCAGAAGCAATTCTGGCTTTCTCAGCTACTTCTGCAGTAATTCGGGCTTTCTCAGCTTCTTCAGCAGCAAATCTGGCTTTCTCTGCTTCTGCAGCAATTCTAGCCTTCTCTTCTTCTTGTACAGATATTTTAGCTTTTTCTACCTCTTCTGCAGCAATTCTTGCTTTATCTGCCTCCTCTGCAGCAATTCTTGCTTTATCTGCCTCCTCTGCAGCAATTCGTGCTTTCTCTGCTTCTTCTAGGGCAATTCTAGCTTTCTCTGCTTCTGCAGCAATTCTGGCTTCCCCAACTTGTTCTGTAACTTCATATCTGTCTTTCTCTGACAATTCATTTTCTGCATTTTCATAACCATCCTCAATTTCTGCTTCAAGTCTGATTTTTTCAGCTTCTTTAAATGTCATTCTGTGTTTCTTCTTCTTAGGTTTAGGTGTTTCTTCTTGTTTTACAGTTTCTGCAGCAATTCTGTCTTTCTCAGCTTTATCAGCAGCAATTCTGGCTGTCTCTGCTTCTTCAGCAGCAAATCTGGCTTTCTCTGCTTCTTCAGCAGCAATTCTGGCTTTCTCAGCTTCTTCAGCAGCAATTCTGGCTTTCTCTGCCTCTTCAGCAGTAATTCTGGTTTCATCAGCTTCTTCAGTAGCAATTCTGGCTTTCTCAGCTTCTTCAGCAGCAATTCTGACTTTCTCAACTTCTTCAGCAGTAATTCTGGCTTCCTCAGCTTTTTCAGCAGCAATTCTGGCTTCCTCAGCTTCTTTAGTAGCAATTCTGGCTATTTCAGCTTCTCCACCAATTCTAGCTTTTTCTTCTTCTAAAGATATTTTAGCTTTTTCTACCTCTTCTGAAGCAATTCTTGCTTTATCTGCCTCCTCTGCAGCAATTTTTGCTTTTTCTGCTTCTTCTAGGGCATTTCTACCTTTCTCTGGTTCTGCAGCAATTCTGGCACCCCCAACTTGTTCTGTAACTTCATTTCTGTCTTTCTCTGACAATTCATTTTCTGCATTTCCATAACCATCCTCAACTTCTGCTTCAAGCCTGAGTTTCTCAGCTTCTTCAAATGTCAGTCTGTGATTCTTCTTTTTAGGTTTAGGTGTTTCTTCTTGTTTTTCAGTTTCTGCAACAATTCTGTCTTTCTCAGCTTTGTTAGCAGCAATTTTGGCATTCTCAGCAGCAATTCTGGCATTCTCAGCAGCAATTCTGGCTTTCTCAGTTTTTTCAGCAACAAATCTGCTTTTCTCAGCTTCTTCAGCAACAATTTTGGCTTTCACAGCTTCTTCTGCAGAAATTCTGGCTTTTTCTGCCTCTTCAGAAATTATCCTATTTTGTTCCATCAGTAATGCTACTCTTTCAGCAATTATTTTATCTTTCTTTGCTACCTCTGCAGCTATTCTTAATTTTTCATCTGCTTCTATTTTAGCTTTTTCTGCCTCCTCTGCTGCTATTAAAGCTGCTTTCTCAGCTTCATTTCTATCTGCTGCAGCTACTTCAGTAACTAATTTTGCTTTCTCTTTTGCTAATTTAACTTTTTCTTCAGCTATTGTCTTTGCTTTTTCTGCTTCCATTACTGCAAGTAAGATGAACCTTTCCGCCTCTATTTTATCTTTTTTAGCTACCTCTGCTGCCAATTTAGCTTTTGCTTCCTCGTCTAGATCAACCTCAAACTCTCCAGTAAATTTACTGCTTTTTTCTACACTATCAATGCCATCTTCTGATGTAAATGTAGTATTTTCTGTTGATTCCAACACTATTTTTCTTTTAACAATATCTATTTCATCAAGTTTTTCAGAAAGAAGATCCAGTGTAGTTTTTTTGGTAATTATATCATTATTCTCAATCACAGTATCTGCATTGGTTGTCTCCCTTCTTACTGACTGTCCCACATCTCTTTCTTTATATTCTAAAAGTAAAATACATTGTGTTAGTAATTTTCCTTTCCCTTGATCTAAGTAAAACAATATATAATTCATAAATTTCACAGTTATATTTGATAAATCTGGGGAAGTAATCTCATCCGATAAGTTTTTTGTTTAGCTTTAAAATATAGTACCATTGTCATCATCTTAATCAAATCTCCAGAAAAGATTATCTTATTCTTGTAGAATTCTTAGAGAAATTGTAAAAGATTGATCAAAAGGATATGAATTGATCTAAATATATCACTTCAATATTTGCCCTAACAATGGTATGACTAGATTCATATTTTTACATTAAAAGTAAAAGTAACCATTTCCATGATTTTCATTTGTTTTAATAAGAAAAATATTTCTGTCTTGCTTTTTTTACTTTTTCTTTTCACACACTAAGATTTAGTTCTGTAAGCTTACCATCACCAATATGTAGACTGGTTCTGGTTTTAACTCTGCCTAATCTGTTTTTCACAATACAGACATACATTCCACGATCACTATACATGGCATTTGAGATGGTCAACGTAGATTCTCCAGAGTCTGACATTGATATTTTTACTCTAGGTGACTGGATTATATCAACCATATCCTTTGTCCTAAAATAAAATTAACTTCATATAAATCAGGGGTTGATTTAGCTGGAATTGTACCCTGGTCTAGGACTTTTCTGTTGTCACAATAGATGGGTACAACTCAAAATGCTAACAGCAGTCTTCACAAAAACATTTTGTTTTTTGACACACAAACCACAAAAATTAATCTTTCATGAAAATTTCTTTTCATTTATATTGATTATTGTTATAATGTTATATGGCTTGTGAAGGTTCTTTGCAGGAAAATTTGACTGGCCTGGCAACATTTTCACTGGCATAGACAATAATGGTTAATGGTGAAGAATAAAACAGTCCAATATACTGAACTTGTTTACAAAATCAATCATCAAATATCCACATTTGATTAAGCATTTGTAGCTCCATGGAGTCCTGAGGTTTAAACCAAAGTTTAAAGTTTTTGGCATTTTTAACTCTTTGTTTCCTATAAATAGCTTGTTTTTTATATAAGATATGCTGTTAGGAGTTTTGTTTTCTCAAAGGTAAGAATGTTTCATGCACAATGAGCAACATATTTCTCTAAACTTAATAAGAGTCAAATAGTTTTTAAGTGGCTTAGAATGAAAGAACATAGGCAGTCCTTTTGTACTGTACTTTGCAACTTTGCATTCTTAATTGAACTAAGAACTATGTTCTTGTAAGACATATAAACAAGTTTCTTTTTTTATTTTTGGAGAAAAATCTTAAATATAAACTAAACCAATTTCCTACTTCTATTGTGGTTGAAACGGTTAATCTTTCTTTTTACATTGAAAATATAGTTAAGGAAGATAACACATTAATCTGAAACTGGTTCCCCACTGTGTTAAAATTGCAGCACTAGTTAACACTTTCAACAAATGGAGACACATTCTTATGTGTTGATTTTAATTAAATAATGTCAATGGTTTCTATATACTAAAAATACCTCAGTATGAAAAAAGTCAGTATAATAAATACAAGGACCAATACACCTTATTGATATTAAGTCCAATCCGGAAAAAATAGTCACTTAGACAACTTCCTATTTGTGTCAAGTGTTACAAAACAAAGTCCATCAGTCATTAGCTGCATGAGGGAGGAAAAAATTTTGAAAGTGAACAAAGGTTACCAAGTCAACACTGTAATTAGATTTTTAAATATTATTTTTATTGGTACAAATATTGATTTTGTTATCAGTAAATTAAAACCATACTAAATATATTTGTTATACACATGTTCAAATTCACAGTACTACAGTCTGTTGATACCTAAATTTTGGCATTGCACAAGGTCATGCTTTTCTCAGACTGTTAATGACATCTTTACACTAAATCCATTGGATGTTGGATGTGTACTGATTGATATTTTAGTCTTAGATACATGATTTTTTTATTAGTTGTTTTTGGTTTGAACAAGCTGTCAGAAACTGTGAGTACTCTCAGTTCTGTACTTTTGTGTCTTTTTTGTTTTTTTAGGGATGTATAAATGCCCTGCCACATCCAGTCTGTGTTTTTGTTAGATGTATTGTATATTGTCTCATTCAGATCTACATTATATAACATCTGTGTCAGAATGTAATATTCATATTCTATTGTTTTTAATTTGTATTTTCTAAGGGGAAATTTACATGACCAAGCAAGACAATAAATCTGTTTAAAGAATAAAACTGCAAATATTCTTTTTATCATATCAATATTCTTAAAAGAAATACTGCAGTTCTATTAAAATATCAAATTTTTCCTAACTTTATATCACTAAATGTTATAAGTAATTTGCTATGTACCATCTGAAAAGTGGAGGAGGATTGGCCTCTGCACAACATTTGAATACAGCAGTTTCCCCAGCAGCTACTCCCATCAAACTGTCAGGCTTTACTGTTAATTTAGGGGGACCTATTTCAATACTTTTATTCTTCTCAGCTGCAAAGAAGAATTCATTAATTTGGTACTGGAATATACATATGTAGGACTCAAACCTATGGTGGGTTTCAGATCTATGTCAAATTCCTACTCTATGGTAAATATGACGTAACAAACGCCGAACAAATCATAAATCTATGGCATTTTTTGTTTTCTCCAAATCGATGGCAGATTTGGATATTACGTAATTTTCCAGGGAAAAGAGTAAGCTATAATGTCCACGCCGTCACTAAAGATGACGGTTTTGTAATATAGAAGGAAAAGGCCAGTTTTCAAGGACCCTAATCCATAAATTAAATTTTATTTCAGAATTCGAGTTTACGGTAACGGAAATCCCTGCAAATAAGGAGATGTACTCATCTTATTTGGATGATATAAGAATACTAGCTAACAAATACATAGTCATTCGTAACAACAAAATCGCTGGTGCAGGCAATTTCATGCAAATAAATATGTTTTTGGTGTTCTCAGTGTTTATGTTTCGTATTTGTTTCCGCTCCTTGTTTACTTATCCTCATCTGTATTTTTGGCGTTGCCTTGTCTCTTGATTTTTACAAGTTTTTACTGTGACTTAGGTACGTTTTTTTGCTTTTCTTTCATAATTTTTATGCTATGCTGTTTTCTTGTTTTTCTATCCCTATGGTACTCTTCAAATATGTTTAAAACATAATCTACAGCATTCTTCAGCTATATTACAGCGACTACCTGTACTATTGTAGCAAATAATCTTTCTTGAGATTTGGAAACTAAAAAAAAATCTGTCATAGATTTCTAATAACTATTTACATTATGTTCAGCTATATTTATGTCGAATAATTGTACTGTTGGGAGAAATTAGGATTTTTTTAAGAAGCCACTTGTTTGAGGCAAGGACTTTGACTTAAATTGTCATCAGTTCAATAAGATTTATTAACGCTCAAATAAATATTAGGTAAAAAGTCAAACTGTTCAATTCTTTTCATAAAAACTGCTTTTGGGGTTGTTAAGGGACTTGGTTAAATGACAGGGTCAACCAGGTACCATGCACAGAGAAGGAAATGCTTATACTCCCGGAGCACATCCTTTCATTCCTAAAGTCTGTATTAGTGTATATCACTTCCTTACTAAGTAAATTTTATGGTTGTCATCACGATTTGGTTGACCATTATGGAAGGTCCGTTTCACAAATGGTTATTCATTGGTTATTCTTTCACAAATGGTTATTCTTTGGTTATTCTTTCACAAATGGTTATTCGTTAATTCATGTCTGTCATATTTGTTTTTTGTAAATTGTTTTGTTATAAATTAGGCCGTTAGTTTTCTCAATTGAATTGTTTCATATTTTTCATGTCGGGGCCTTTTATAGCCGACCATAGGGTATGGGTTTTTCTCATTGTTGAAGGCTGTACGGTTGCCTATAATTCCTTACATCCACTTCATTTTAACTTTGGTGGATAGTTGTCTCATTGCATATCTCCATATTTTTATATGGATATGCTCCTGTTGAAGTACCTCTAATCCGTTTTTCTTATACATGTACTGCCTTTTTTCTTTACCTTTGGACATTTCCACTTGTTTAAGGCAACTTTGAAATCATTGGTCAGATATGTACTGACTGGTCCTCCATTTGCAGAATATCTGCCATAGATTTGAAAAATAGAAATCTGCCATAGATAAGAAAACTAAAATTTGCCATAGATAAGGATTCTAAAAAAAGTGCCATAGATTTGGGATGGCATGACGTCATATTTACCATAGATTAGGAATCTGACATAGATCTGGAACCCACCATAAATTTGAGTCCTACATATATAATGATTGAATCCTGCTAAATCTATCTTTATTGTTTTTCTGTGACAGATAGATGCAGAGAATAGAGTCTATAAAAATTCTTAGGTACATGTTCAATGCTAAATCCTGATGAGTTGCTCATCAAAAGCATAACCAAATTTTACATATAATGCCCATCATAAGTTTCAGTGTTTGAATAAGTTTATGGCTGGCAGCAATACTAGTTTCAAATTATTCAGGCTACAATTGTTTTGTTTTTATACATAATTCATTTCTATTTTTTCATTTATTTGTATTGCTCGTTTACTTTTTCTTCTTGAATTTCTAAGTTGCCTTAAGTTCTTTCTTTATAAGGTAATTAAGGAACAGCTTTTTTTTCCAAACAATATGAGAGATCTTTGAAAAATAGAAATTGTTTGAAATATCTTGTCATGAAAGTATAACTAAGTAAAAGTTTTATATGCATCAAAATTTATGAACTTGATATAACCTACCTTTAAGTAAGATGTTAGCACTAACAGACACTGTACGATCTGTACTAGTTACTTCACATGTGTAGCTACCAAGATCTGCATCCTGAACATCTTCTACTGTTAATGTATGCACACCTTTGCTTTCCTATAAATAGCCAATAGATCTAAGGTTAATGAAAGCACACATTCAGCCAGCAATAAGTTCTAAGGTCAATGTATGCAAACCTTTGCTATTCTTTAAAATATCAATATATATATATATGGTGCATGTATGCACATATTTAGCTTCCTATGAAGAGACAGGCATTAAATCTATGGTCAATGAATGCACACATTTACCTTCCTACAAAGAGCCAGGCATTAGATCTAAGGGTAATGTATGCAAACCATTGCTTTCCTTTAAATCACCAATCAATGTAAAGGGAATGTATGCACACATTAGAGCCAGCCATTAGATCTAAGGTCAATGAATGCAATTCTTTTCTTTCCTATAAAGGGTCAGTCATTAGATCTAAGGTCACTGTATGTACACATTTACCTACCTATAACGAGCCATCCTTTAGATATAGATTTCAATTTTGAAAGTATTGAACAAGTAAATTCATATTATAAAGGGGTATAACTCTGGCTAATTTTTTTTTTTTTTACTTTTGGGAATTTTGTCTGTTTAGTGGTCAAAAACATTCCATTTAAATTTCAATCAATTTCAAAAAACTGTTTTCCATTTACCATCATAAACCACAAAAATTTGAATTTTTTAAACAATTCAGAACCATATCTAAGGTCACTGTATGTACACATTTACCTACCTATAACGAGCCAGCCTTTAGATCTAGATTTCAATTTTGAAAGTATTGAACAAGTAAATTCATATTATAAAGGGGTATAACTCAAAACCTCCATTTAAATTTCAATCAATTTCAAAAAGCTGTTTTCCAGTTATCATCATAAACCACAAAAATTTGAATTTTTTAAACAATTCAGAACCATATCTCTTGAATGGTAAAAGTAGAAATGATGAAAATCAAAATTAATCTGTGTTTAGTGGTCCAAAACATTTCATTGAAATTTCAATCAATTTCATACAGGGGTCTACATTTAGTATCCAGAAACCACAAAATATTGAATTATTGCAACAATCATGTACCATAACAGTGGAACAGTATAAGTGGAAACGATAAAAATCAAATTTAACTTGACTTTAGTGGTCCAAAAAATTCCATTAAAATCTCATTCAATTTCATAAAGGGGCTCTCAATTTATAATACCAGAAACAAAAAATATAGAATTTTCTTACAATCAAGTATCATAACACTGGTAAATGAAAATTTGAATTTAAACCTGTCTTTTGTAGTCCAAAATATTCCATTTAATTTTCAATTAATTTTTTTAAAAAGTTCTCTATCATCTGGAAACCCAAAGTGTGATGGACGGAATGATGGACTGACAGACAGAGTCGAGCAGTCACCAGACCTGCTTTTTTGCTGTTACCAACGCAAGTAAAAAAAGTTGATTTACTGTCATTTGATAGTCAGAGTTAAAAAACCTGTGTAATTGAACTCAGATTTCATTTGTAATTCACAATTAGCTTGAAAACTTCAGGTTTTTCAAGAACAAAAGTACCATGATAAATTCCTAAAGAATTTGCAGTTTTATACCATTGAAATCATTTCTATTTTATCTTAAACTGTTACATTTTACAAATCATTTTCAATGTTTTGCAAAAACTGGTACAAAATAGTTCACACAGTTCATGCAGTATAACCTTGTATACAGATTTGTTCATGTAGTGAGGTATGGAATGAATTTTACAGTTTGAAAAAAAAGATCCTGGTTTTCAAGTCCTTAACAAATGACCAAAATTGAGTGAAAAAATTTTAAGACCTTTAGAACTAAGGTCAATATATACAAACATTTGCTTCATACAAATACACAGAGTTTCAAATACCACTGAAATTACATGCTAACATCTTGCATTTTGTGACTGTACACACAATCCCATGATAAAATTAAACTAGTTTCATGTGTCCACGATTTTTCTTAAGATGACCAATTTTAATGTGGCCCAATAAAGCATTTGTAGATAAGTTATTTACAATATAAACTTGTTCAAGACCACTTACTGGTCAAAAGAACAATATAGTTAGGCTAGTCTGCATACAGGCCTTTATTTCTTACAAATAGTTAATATATCAAATTCCATAGGAGGGATAGATATAATAAAAGTACCTCTTACTAGTACTTAATTATTCTCAATTTTCCTGTTTTTACCTTTAGTTAACATACCGTAAAATTATATTTCCTTTTCTTTTGTTTAATTTCCTTTCGATCTTTATACCATTTGACAGAAATATTAGGCTGCTTGTCCACACCACATTCAAAGTAGGCTTCTTGTCCTTTGTATACTGTTGTATCCTTGATAGGCCATAATATCAATGGAACATCTAAGTCTGGTGTCTCATGTGGTAACTTGGTCTCTATTCTCTGTGTCTCCAATCCTGTTAAAACACATTTTGACATTATTTATTAATAATAAACTTTCCAAGCTTATAACTATTTGTTGCTATTGTATTTTTTGTTACACAACAAGATGTGTCTATTTGAATAACCAGGATTGACATCCTACTTGTAACATTTACAGCAGACTTGTGTGATATATTTCTCTTTGTAATGGTATCTTCTAAAGGCAGAATATTTATAAAATATACATCTATTTCATTTTGTCTGCCGTGAATAGTTGTCTTATTGACAAGCATACCACTATTTCCTATTTTTATATAATTATGTTGTATCCAGTGTATAAGTAATTCTTTATTCTTTTCATGTAACTGAAAAAGTATACATCTATAAACATGAAAACACAATAAAGAATCTTAATTGTTTCATAAGTATTGTTGTATTCAACGATATTTACTTTTTAAGTTCAACAGTGTCCTGGTTGTGATTGCACCAGTTTCTGATAGGATGAGGCATTCATACACTCCAGCATCCTTTAATTTATATCTGCTAATGACAACAGTAGATTCTTGTGTGACTGTATCCCAGTTCACCATTACTCTTCTATTGGATTCCAGTTCTTCGCCATCTTTAAACCTATAACAGATAGGGATTATGTTTTAATTTAAGATTGTATAACTATATTTTATATCAATTCCATGGCCTAAGTGCATATATATCAATTCTACCCATTTAACTTCTTTTGGTCAAACTTGTACTGTGTGCATTTGATTTCTGTTTGGGCTAAATAATGGACTGGCAATTTCATGTTTTGGAATTTCATGTTATTTAAATACAGTGTTCCTTTGTTGAACTGCAATCTCATGTGCACTTAATCTGTTATTAAAACGGATTGACAGCAATATGAGGAGCAAAACAAATCAGACAAAAAAAAACAATTATCAACCACTAAGAGTTTTGAAAGTATTGTTATAGCAATTGCTAGAATCCTGCCCATTGCAAAAGTATCTGAAAATGAGCATTTGTTCTTTGTTCCTATCAGTTTTTTTGGAATGAAAAACTGTTGGATTTTATAATGACAGAAGGAGGCAAGGATTAACAATGATAACACTATATGCTCCAACTACTATGTCATTGATAACACTATATGCTCCAACTACTATGTCATTGATAACACTATATGCTCCAACCACTATGTCATTGCATAATTATTATGTGGTTAGGGTATTAAAACCATTAATTTCCAAAAATTTTAAAAGTAAAAAAACTAAGGACCACAAACTTTTCCAACTTTGAGTTTTTACAAGGACACGGGTCCTGAACTTTAACAGCTGTAATGCAGAGAATCAAACTGGACCTGTATGGTTATTATCTATTTCTAGAAATATAAAGACCTTTCCGCAAACCAAAAATATAAGTCATACTGATCTTTGAAACCCTCAATTTTGACAATTTTATCATTTTCATGGTGACTATCAATCATCAACTAAAAATTATATGTAATGAGCAATAGTATTCATGGCAAAGTAGAATTCTAATCAAATTTAGCAATTTATATTTTGGTCAAACAGACAAAGCAATATATATATGGTCCCACTTCCAAAATGGTAATTAACAAAAAACTAAAGAAAAATGCAGGTACAAATGTAACTCAAATTATTATGTTAACTATAAAATTAGAAGTTATAAGATTTTATCTTATACAAACCATCTTGCAGGTGAATATGGTTCTCCACCAACTTTAACATAAAGTCTAACATTTTCATCTCTTTCCATTGGACAATATTCTTCTTGGAGTGGTACAGCAAAATATGGTTTTCCACTTAATTCTACACTTTGTTCTTCTAAAATCATTTTACAAAAACATTGTTATAAGGTGGACTGTAATCTCTTAATAATTCCTTAATACTTTCCTCTAAAAAACTCAATAAAGTTATTTTACTGAAAAGAGTCATCAAGAAATCACTATATGGATGTCGACAATTGGCATGTGCCCAAACTATAAAGCTAAATCACTATATGGCTGTCCATAATTGACAAAAGCCAAAACTATAATCCTAGCTCTAGATTAACATGTCTTTAAATAAGTAACTTTTCAAAATAAACAATAGCTGCCTTCAATTTTTAAAAAAGAAAACAACTGAATCAATTATAGTTCCCTTACTTTATATGTTCAACAATAAATTTTCAAAATCTTATTGTTGCTTTGAGATAGGTCAGAGTGTTACTTTCTGTCATGAAAAAGTCATTAAGTCCATGCTCTTAGTCAAATTTTAAATTTGATATAAATATAGATTCTACCACTGTATCTAGTGTGATACAATATTTCTCCATTCGAGGCAGTTAATTTTCAAATTTAAAAAGTGAGGTTTCTCAAGTGTTTTAAAGGGGCATTAGCTGTCAAATTCATCTTCACTGATTTGACTCAAATTCTCATATTTGATTTATAACATACTAAAAGGTATATCTTAATCATAAAAAGTCTCAAATAAACAATTTACAATGCATGGGCCCAATAATATGCATCAGCATTTTATGTGTATTTTAGTCAAGACGCCATCTAATTAACCATCAAGGTGACCTCCTAAGACAGCCAACGGTCATATAACCCGATATAAACATAAATATAGATATAAATAGATAGCGAACTCGTGCAATGGGATTTTTCAAGGTCTGTTTGATTTAATATTATAGGTTAAAAAGATATGTTAATCATCGTTTTTACCTGTATAAGAATGATTTTTGTGGATCGAATCAGTCAATCAAATGGTTTACCCTTGTTTCACTTTCAATGTCGACATTCTTTTCCTTTTAATAACTGAATACGCCTAATTCATGCGTAACCCATCTCTAGCTAATGGGTTAAATTGAAGGTCACTTGAATACAGATTCAATGAGGCCGAATTATTCACTTGCAAGTGAATAATTCATCAGCAATGTTTCTTAGCTTATTTTGACAAAATTGAACCAAACTGGCTGCTAAAAGCGAATTATTATTTCACTTTAATTAATGATTGAACAAAAAAAATCATATTTTAATTTTTTGGTATATCTTGTAGCTAATGCCCCTTTAAAAATTTAAAATCTAATTGTCAAAAGTGGAGAAATATTGTATTGCACAAGATTTGGTGATAGAATTTGTTTTCCCAAAATCTCCGATGATATGTTGACAAAGTTTATCTTCTTCCAAAGACCTGCAAAAAGATGTGTTCTTTCTATGTGACGTCATCAGGCATGATCACCTTTTTTGATGACGTCACAATATGAAATTCATAGAAAAACAAGAAAATTTGACTTCATAATCAAATTTTGACAAACAAAGAACTGAGATAAAACAAACCAAACGCTGTTTAAAAAAAATATATATTACAACAGGTCAGGAAAAGGATAAATCCTCTAAAAATTAGAGAAAAAAATTATATCTACTTTAACATGCTATGGTATAAAATTAGAATTCTTTTAATGGAAACACTTCAAATCATAGAAATGTACATATTACTTGTATAAACAAATTTATATAGTCAACACTACATGTACCAAGTAAACATTCTTGCCATAAAAACAGTGAACGCTTCCAGTGGAATGAATCACACATCATACAAAATGGATGTAGTGGATGATATGGACATGTCAAACAGTGTAAATGAAGGAAGCAAATCTCTAAAACACAGGTGGGATGTTTTACCTTTCTTAGATGAAGGTGCATTTGTCATACCTGTTTAAGCAATGAAAACTCATTAAGAAAAAATGCCAAAAATATGAATGTTTCCATGTAAGTGTTGAAGCATAGTAAATAAAAAAAAATAACTATCTACTAAGATAAATTGTTTTCATAGTATTCTTTCAAATATTGTTGTGCATAGTTAGTAAAATTTTTCTAATCATAATAGATTAAAAAGGTCATTTTTTGTTGACATTATTTTCAAAATATATTGATTAAAATGACATTTATCAATAGTTTCAACCAGATTAAATGTAGTCTTACATGTCTCTGCCTGGACCGATTCAATTCTTTCAATTTCATTAACTTTTCTGTCTCCACTCATCTTTGTTGATGTATCTCTAATATAGTAAAAAAATATAACTCCTTAATAGACTTTATTTACAGAATTTAAACCAGATTATTATAAGGTCTGATCATCAGTATCAAAATTTATAAAAAATTTCTTTCTACCTCTATTTTTTTGCTAAAAAGAAATAATTATAAGCATTTCGGTATTTGTCATTCTTATAAAGGGAGATAATTCCAATAGTCACTAATTTAATTGTCCACATAAACTTATCTTTAATATCTTAAGTAATATATTTCTGGAAGAAACTATCATTATCCTATAAAATGACATTATATCTAAGTTCAATATGGTTTGAAAATGGAAGAAAGGTAAATCTTGCAAAAATTATCTTGATTATCAAATTTTTTACTGCAGTATATAACATACCTAGAGGATAGGCTGTCATTGTTTACATTAGAGGATGTTTTCTCTGAAATATTTTTGGCATCCAATGCAGATGCCTTTTTATCTTCAACCATACTGATGTCTAAGTCTTTTTTCGAAGCTCTATCAACTTCTACTTCAAAATCTTTCTTTTTATCTGCACTCAAAGAACTTGTGATTAAATCTTCACTCTTTAAAGACTTCGTGTTAAAATCTGTCTTCTCACTAACATCTGATATAAAATCTTTCTGTTCATCAACATTTTTTAAATTTGATTGTAAATTTTTCTTGTCTTTAACATCAATTGATTTTTCCTTTATGTCACTGATTTCTTCACTCGCTGACTTGACCAGTAATTCTTCCTTGCTATCTACAGTTGATATTTTCAAACTTCCCTCAATTTGAACTTCACTATGACTTTCCTGCTCACCAGAAATATTTGATGCCTTGAGTGCATAAATTCCTGCATCCCTTAAAAATTTAGTTTTAGTTATCTCCAGATTATGATATTGTTCTTTAGATGTCAGTATTATGTGGTCAGAAGTAGATGTTATTCTCTGGGAATTGTGCAGCCAAACAACTGTAAAACATTTACAGGTAATATACAACATAACTGTAACTAATTTGTGATAATGAGTTATCATAATAATATAATCCTGTACATAATCATCTATGGGGCCATTTTAAGGTACAGTTCTGTAAAATGGAAATCTGTAATGAAAACTTGTAAATATACAGTAAAAACAATACCTGTTCAAATGGTAAATGAAATCCCTTTTGATTTCTCTAATAAGTACAGTACAAAAAACACTGTGAGAGTCAACAGTTATATAGGGCAACCTCAAGAATTTAGCAACAACTAGTAAATCTGAATGTTCTCTTAATGTCCTCTTTGTATTTTGTAGAGATTGACTCATAGACATGTACCTCAATGCTCTTCATGTAAACCTACATATCATAATTATAGTTTTATTCTCAGAACTAAGTAATAATGTTGAATATACAGTCATGGGTCATTTTTGTAACTTATTGTTTCAAAAAATAAATTAACAAGAATGTGTCCATAGTACATGGATGCCCCACTAGCACTATCATTTTCTATGTTCAGTGGACCTTGAAATTGGGATAAAACTCTAATTTGGCATTAAAATTAGAAAGATCATATCATAGGGAACATGTGTACTGAGTTTCAAGTTGATTGGACTTCAACTTCATCAAAAACTACCTTAACCAAAAACTTATCCTGAAGCGACCAAAAAAATTTAACCTGAAGTGGGACAGCGGACAGCAGATGGAGAAACGGACGCACAGACCGAAAAACATAATGCTCCTAGGTGGGGCATAAAAACATGCAACAAACTTTTATGGAAATTTTACCATTCTTAAGATATTAATCCTGTTACAAGAATTCAGAATTATCAGTATCAAGTTCGAACAAAAACTTAATTTTTTCAATTTCGTAACTAAAAAAAATATAAAGTATGGTAATCTTCTGACTTCAAAATGTAGATTTTAAATCACAATAACACTTGTGCAATAACACCAACAACAGAGACAGATCAAAATATAAATCTGATATGATAGTCATCCATACCTTTAGGTTTAGGTTCACCTGATACCAGACACTGCAGCTTCAATGTTTCTCCATCTTTAATTTCCACAACTTTTGGCAGAAATTTTACAATATTTGGTGGTGTAGTATAGATGGTTTCTTTCTCTTCTGTTTTACTGCTTTCTTCCTCTGTAGTAATTTCTACATCCTCTCCTCCCACAAACATCTTGTCTGATGATCTTAACAAAGATTTTTCTTCAATTTCTTGACCTTTTGTAATCATGGATTTATCTTCCATTGAAGTCTGTTTTGTTGACTTTACTTTTTCACCTGATGTCTCTAATTGTTCTTCTATACTCGATACTGAATCAGTCTTTTTGGTTAAAACGTCAATTGACATTTCTTTTTCTGATTTCAAAGGTTTGACAGATGATGCTTCATTAGAATTCATTTCTTCTGTTTTCTCTTCAGAATTATTCTTAGCTGTTACCATTGATGATTTGTTCTCTGATACTTCAGGGTTTGAAGTTTCCACTAAATGTTTTCCTTCTGAAGATTCAGTTGTCTTTTCAATTGATTTACTTGTTTCACTTGAATGTTTTCCTTCTGAACTTTCAAAAGTTACCTTAGGAACAGCTGCATCTACTTCATCAGATGAAAATTTGTCCTGTGAACTTTCTACTGCCACCTCTGACATAGTTTCAACAACTTTTGATTCCTCAATTGAACTCTGAGCACCTATATCATATGACTTTGTTTCTGCTTTAAGTGACCCTTTCATCTTTGCATCATCTGTATTTGATTTAATATCAGATGTAGTTTCAAATGCTAGTACAGGACTGGCTAGTGCATCTGTTTTCATGTCTGCGATTAAGCTTGCTTCTAATTCCTTTGTTTGTTCTCTAGTAAAATCTTTGTTGTCTGTATTACCTCCTTTCTCTTCAGTTGAAATTCGGTCTTCAATCTTTTCAGAAGAACTTTTGACTTCTTTCTTATCTGTTGAACTTTCAACCCCTGCACTTTCATTGTTTACAATTGGTTGTGTCTTTACAATTTCAGCATCTTTACTGGTCACAATCTCTTGTGAACTTTTACTGTTTCTTGACTGAATCTCCTCTGTTGGTTTGTCTTCCGATGGTGTTATTTCTGTTGATGTTTGTTTCGAATCACATGCATTCTCCTCAGTTTTGTTTGCCTTTTCAGGAACAATTTCTGTTACAACAGTCTCTGGCTTTAATGTTAAAGTTTCATCCTTTGACTCGTCAGGTTTGGTCTCTTTGCTTTCAGTTAAACTTGTTTCAGAAATATTTGTTTGTTGGTTTGCCTTTGTTAAAATTTGGTCTGCTTCACAAGTGACCTTTGAAATTTCCATGCTTTCAGAAGAACTCTGAGTGACTTTTGAACTTTCCATGCTTTCAGAAGAACTCTGAGTGACTTTTGTTTCAATGGAACCTTCATTGCTTATCACTTCTTTTCTTCTTCCATTTCCTGTGTCTTCCACAGAAAGTCCCTTGCTAAGTTTTCTATGTATTTTTCCATTACCTGTTTCCTCCATTGAAGAGCCTTTACTCAATTGTCTACTTGCCAATCCATTGACTGAATCCTCTACAGGAGAGCCTTTACTCAATCGTCTATTTGCCAATCCATTGACTGCATCCTCAACAGAAGCACCTTTACTTAGTTTTCTCCTTGGTTTTTCAGACTCATCAATTGAAGATCCCCTACTAAGTTTACCATTTGTTTTAATGAATTTAGAAGACAACAGACCTCCATCAGCATTTGGTGAGTATAATTTTTCTAATTTGACATCCCCTTTTGATAACCTTCTGGCTTTTTCTATTGCTTCAAATGATGCAGTTCTCTGTAGATCACCTGTAACTTTTGGTCCATCCAAAGAGTCACTTTCTTTAGCTGCCATCTTTGTCTCCAACTCATTATTCTGATCTTGTGTTTCCTCTAGTTTTGTGTCTACAGTTACAGAGACATTTGATTCTATTTCAGTTGTTGACTTTTGAACAACTGACATTGCTGATTTGGCCTTTGACATTTCTGTACTTGCAATTGATTCAGATTCATCTAATGAACTTGAAACATTTGATTTGTCAGCCTTCTCAGTTTTGGAAATCTCTGACATCTTAAATGAAGAATTAGTTGTAGATGATATCTTCAGGTCTGAACTTTTCATAAGTTCCATAGACTCAGAAATTTCACTTTTAACCTCTGATCTGTGAATGTTTTCTGACCTATCCTGTTCATCAACCAAGCTTTGAACCTTTTGAGTTTTAGAATCAATATCTGTAGTAATTCTACTGGTTGTCTTTGTTTCAGTTTGTTTCTGCTCTGTTTTAATGACTGAACTATCTACTTCACATTCAGTTAATCCCTTTACAGTTTCAATCTTACTTGTAGCTTCAACAATTTTCAAATCTCCATTAACATCAGTCGTCACCGTCTTGCTCTTTTTTAAAGTAATGTCCATTTCATCAAATCCCTTTAAACTCTCAGTTTCACCTTTGTTGACAATTGAACTTTGTTCTCCCTCCATGGTACTTAAAAGTGACTGACGAGATAAATTTTCCGTATCAATTTCCTCGTCTTCTAAAGAATCTTTTCTGCGAATAATCTTTATATCTCCATCTTCTCCACATGTAAACCTTGTACCAGATTCTGACAAAATAGAATAATAGCCAATAAAAAAGATTTTTTTTTAATTCATGTTCATAATTTCTGGCTTTATCTTGTATTTTTTATGGAATGAGATCTCTGTTGAATTTTTTTTTGTTTTACTTTTTGAAAAAAACTATGAAATCAAATACATATTTCTTTAACAGGCCAGTTTTCACTTCTTAAGTCTTTTATCCATGTAATATAGCGTTGTTAATAAATAAATTGTTAAATTATCCGAAGTCAAAAATTTTGGGAGTAGTTGTAGTTGTTGCTGCATGCTTTGTGTTTAATGTGAATTGGTTGTCTCTGAAGAATTTATTCACAACATGTATTCTGAAGGCAATTTAGACTTTGTCATACAACATGGGCACTTCTTCAATTTAGCATTTAGGAAGGGTTGAGTGGTGGGTGTCTGGAAAATGTTATTTCTGAAGGAAGGGTTGAGTGGTGGGTGTCTGGAAAATGTTATTTCTGAAGGAAGGGTTGGGTGGTGGGTGTCTGGAAAATGTTATTTCTGAAGGAAGGGTTGGGTGGTGGGTGTCTGGAAAATGTTATTTCTGAAGGAAGGGTTGAGTGGTGGGTGTCTGGAAAATGTTATTTCTGAAGTAAGGGTTGGGTGGTGGGTGTCTGGAAAATGTTATTTCTGAAGGAAGGGTTGGGTGGTGGGTGTCTGGAAAATGTTATTTCTGAAGGGAGGGTTGAGTGGTGGGTGTCTGGAAAATGTTATTTCTGAAGGAAGGGTTGAGTGGTGGGTGTCTGGAAAATGTTATTTCTGAAGGAAGGGTTGGGTGGTGGGTGTCTGGAAAATATTTTTTCTGAAGGAAGGGTTGAGTGGTGGGTGTCTGGAAAATGTTATTTCTGAAGGAAGGGTTGGGTGCTTGTTGTCTGGAAACCAAACATTTTGCTAATTTTAACCTCTATTAAGGGCATAAATCTAGAAAGACAAAAGTGATATGGGTCAAATTCCAATTGAATCTGTTTTTGATTGTCCTTAATAACATTACAAATTTCAAAAGATTTGGTGGAGGCTAACTCAAGTCATTGTCAGGAAAACCAAAATAAGTTTGGGGTTTTCACTTTGAAAGACATAATTGAAAATTATACAAATTCAAACTGTATCTGTGTTATGTGGTCCCTACCAATATTACCAAATTTCAAATGATTTGGTGATAGTTCAATTCAATATTTGTCTATGTTCGGCTTTATAAGAGGCAGAACTCTGGAAAAACACAAGATGATAGGGTAGAATTTTAACTTAATCTGTTTTAAGTGTCCCTAACAACATTTCAAATTTCAAATGCTTTGGTAAAGGCTCAATTGAGATATTGATCAAAATCAAAAATCGTTTTTATCCCCATGATACGGCTGAAAATGGAAAAAATTTTGGTGGAATTTCAACTTGATTCGGTTTTGTATCCCTTACAAAATTAGAAATAAAGAGTTACTTAAGTTTGGTTCTCATTGCAAAAAGGTTTTATTCATTTGAGGATGTAATTTGCAGGTTAAAAATTGTTACAAGTTTGAGGATACATGTATTATCATATATTTACAGCCTATATCCAAATTTGTATAATTTTTACAGCTAGACAAGTGATTTGAATCTTTCATTAGCTTTTATAATGTATTTATGTTACCTAGCATTTTTTGAACCCACTTTCCAAAAATAATGACATAGAGATAAGTGAAGTACCAGGCAATTGCCACTAGTGTGCGTTCCCTTGAATCCTATTTATATTATTCTTCTCAAGGACCACATTTTATAAGTGGGTTTATCATAATATGTACTGTGGAGTGTGGATTCATTATTATTCATCATTCTCATGGATTCGTAAGTACAAGTTAACATGATTTAAATGTTCAATGGAGTAAAAATGTTCTATAGGCTTGTATGCAGACTTTGTCAAAACCACTAAATCAAATATCTAAAAATACACCTTTTTATAAATCAACAAATATTTGCACCCATGAAAATAAATAAATGTATCCACAGTATGTAAAAAGATTGATAAAACTGATGCAAGATTCTGATTTAAAAAACATTTACAATAGAATACAATAGATTTCCTTTCATGAACTGGAATAGGATCATAAAGATATATCAGTTGAATTTTGGCTTTCAATTTGAATAAAAGAGCCTCATGCAATAATCATTTTAACCTTACCAAAAACTGAAAGCTTAGCTGATCCAGAACATCGTCCTGCCATATTATGGGCCTCTACTTTATACAGTCCTTGATCAGAGAAGTCACATGTGTGGATCATGAGCAGACTACCTCCCTTTTGACCATTGTGGATTGTAGTCTTCTCCGTAACTTGGATACGCTTTCCATCTTTATACCTGGAATTACAAAATCATATTACAATTCATTTGGGAAATTTAATAATTTGACTGATACCTCTACTGTCAACAGGATGATGGACAGGCAAGACATTTCATCTTACCATATTATTCCTAGCTTAGGATTCCCTTTGACAATAGCTTTGATAATGGACAGGCAAGACATTTCATCTTATAAACAAGAGGCTGTCAGAGTGACAGCAATCCGGATTTTCCTGCATGAAAATGATATTTGCAAATCTGGACCCCCAGGATCAAGTAAAAAAAATATATATAGCATTCAGAAAATTAGTTTATATAAGAATAACAAACAAAACTACCACACAATTCTTCAAACAATTTACCACAGAAAAGAAAACAGATTTTTCCAAAATATCATTTATCATTAATACAATGTCTTTTAAAAATCTATAAAACTTATCTGTAATTATCTTCAAAATGTCTAATAATGAACAGTAAATTTCAAACTATATCTATACTGTCCTACAGAGCTTATCATCAACAACACTTAGGAAACACAAAATTTTTAAATAAATCTGTCACTCCAATTATAATTGTGTGATTGATAATTATCACATGCTTTAATTTGTTATCTTAAAAACACTTATCAATGTCAACAACTTTGTCTACACAATGTAATTTATGAAATATATCCTTTAATAAAAATAGATCATTATCTAATGAAAATGATTTTTGCAAATCTGGACCCCCAAACAGGATCAAGTAAAAATTAAACATTAACACACTCAACAAAAATAAAATACCACATAACAATAGTGACATTTACCTTCAAAACTCACATGACTTAAAAAAAAAAACAGTTATAAAGAAATTTTTGACAACTACTGACTAAAATCAATTGAACAGATACAATCATTGATAGACTATCTATCCATATATTTATTATTTAAACTATTTTTGTTCAAAGGGAAATAACCCAAAATAAAAATAAATCATATAATAAATATCACTTTTCGCTACTGAAAGGTCTACAACTCAACCAGAAAAGCTAAAATCATGAAAATTGAACTTGACCTTCGTTTAGTCACAGGAAACAACATATCCAAGTTTAAAAAGATTTCGCAAAAGTGTTTTCATGTTAATGAACGGACACTGTATGGCAGACGCCCGCCCGCCCACCCTCCCGCACACTGTACATCCCCAAATCAATAATTGATTTTCCTTCGAAAATCCAGTTAAAAAGAAGATGTGTTATGAGTGCCAATGAGACAACTCTCCATCCAAGTCACAATGTATAAAAAGTAAACAATTATAGGTTAAAGTACGGCCTTCAACACGGAGCCTTGGCTCACACCAAACAGCAAGCTATAAAGGGACCCAAAATGACTAGTGTAAAATAATTCAAACAGGAAAACCAACAGTCTAATCTACATAAAAAACAAGAAACAAGAAACACTTATGAACAACTTTTACCATGTTATTCCTGGCTTAGGATTGTTTTTGGCATTTCTCCTTACCATGTTATTCCTGGCTTAGGATTGCCTTTAACATTTCTCCTTATCATGTTATTCCTGGCTTAAGTTACCCTTTGACATTTCCTCTTACCATCTGATTCCTGGCTTAGGATTACCTTTGACATATTTCCTTACCAGGTTATTCCTGGTTTAGGACTGCCCTTGACATATTTCCTTACCATCTTATTCCTGGCCTAGGATTGCCTTTGACATATTTCCTTACCATGTTATTAATGGCTAGGATTGCCTTCAAAATTTCTCCTTACCATGTTATTAATGGCTTAGGATTGCCTTTGACATTTCTCCTAACCATGTTATTCCTGGCTTAGGATTGTCTTTGACATTTCTCCTTTCCATGTTATTCCTGGCTTAAGATTGCTTTTGACATTTCTCTTAACCATGTTATTCCTGGCTTAGAATTGATTTTGGCATTTCTCCTTACCATGTTATTCCTGGCTTAGGATTGCCTATGCCATTTCTCCTTACCATGCTATTATTGGCTTAAGATTGCCTTTGAAATTTCTTCTTACCATGTAATTCCTGGCTTAGGTTTCCCTTTGGCAATAACTTGGAATGTAGCTGTCTGTCTCTCATTCACATGAATATGGCGGATTCCCTCCAAAAATGTTGGCTTTTCAAATTCTATATCATGTTTAAATCTGGCTGAAATTCAGAAACACAAAAATAGTATTACAGCAGTGTTCATCATCTGTCTGCTTGCGCAAACATTGGAATGTTGATGCTTGTGTTGTGTGATAACCAGTACTGATAATTTCTGTTCTACATATGAACTTGTGTATGTGTAAAATATCTAAGGTCAAGTAACCTATACAAATATTGATGTTTTTACATATGTTTGATAATTAATACAGTCATTGACAATCCAGGATAAATGTCTTTAATGAGCTGTTGTTTACAGTTGCAATTGCCTGCAGCTGTTTTGGGACAAAAATTGACAATCAATTTATTCTACATCAATGTTTCGGTACTGACACAATTTATAACATACTATTCTAAATATTCCATTGATAAATTAAGAAACTAAGATTCCAACACTTTCCGGTAAATTTACCTTAGATGAATTTGGGCTATTGTGGATCCATTTATTTTGGTGGGTACTAATTTTTGTGGATTGAGAAAAAATTGTATTTCTGTGGGTATTTGATTATGTGGTTTTTCCAGCACACAAGCTAATAGAAAATTTGTACTTCTTTGAACATTTAAACTCATGGTTCACCTTTACCCACGAAATCCACAGAATTGGTTACCCACAAATAATAATGAATCCACAATATTCTTTTTAGGTCCATTTTGGTGATAGAGCTGCTCACATATTCAGGTATATATATATATCACTGGCTTTTATATACTGGGTTTGAGTTGTCAGGTTTATTTCATGGTTAACTCTGCTTTGATATTAAATATTTGAAAAAAATTATTGATGAAAACATATTGAAAAATAACAAAACTCATTGTCTCTTATCCAAACCAACTTATTTCTATTTACATTTAACAAAAAAATAATTAGCCCAAATCAGTTCTTTTTTTTCACTCTGAAATATGTTTATCTGTTATAGATGGACATACGTTCTATTTGTAAATAACAAGAGGAATTTGATCTGCCTTGTTCATTCCTGACATCCACTAAATAGTCTCCAGTATCCTCTAAATCAGTGCATGGTATTTCAAGACTCAGGTGTCCTGCTCTTTGCTGAAACATATAATGAATAATTTATGGTAAGTTCAAGTACTTTTATTTATGGACAATGATTTTTTCTAATAGATATTTGAAAATATTGGATCTTATATAAAAACTCTGAAACTTAAACTTTACTGTTCATCACAAACCAACATCTAATTTTGGTCTGGAGCTCTAACCATCCACAAAAACACTGACTAATTTCAAAGTTGTACTTTTTCTCTTTCTTTTTCCACTTGAAATCTGTGTACATTTGTATATTGATACAGTCTTATAATCAAGGAATATTTGATAAACCTATCTTGACCATGGGTTGTTTACATATCTGGACTATTGGTTGTTTACATGGACATATCTGGACCATGGGTGGTTTACCTATCTGGACCATGGGTGGTTTACATATCTGGACCATGGGTGGTTTATATATCAGGACCATGGGTTGTTTACATATCTGGACCATGGGTTGTTTACATATCTGGACTATGGGTTGTTTACATATCTGGACCATGGGTGGTTTATATATCTGGACCATGAGTTGTATACATATCTGGACCATGGGTTGTTTACATATCTGGACTATGGGTTGTTTACATATCTGGACCATGGGTTGTTTACATATCTGGACCATGGGTTGTTTAAATATCTGGACCATGGGTTGTTTATATATCTGGACCATGGGTTGTATACATATCTGGACTATGAGTTGTATACATATCTGGACCATGGGTTGTATACATATCTGGACTATGAGTTGTTTACATATCTGGACCATGGGTTGTTTACATATCTGGACCATGGGTTGTTTACATATCTGGACCATGGGTTGTTTACATATCTGGACCATGGGTTGTATACATATCTGGACTATGAGTTGTATACATATCTGGACTATGAGTTGTTTACATATCTGGACCATGGGTTGTTTATATATCTGGACCATGGGTTGTATACATATCTGGACTATGAGTTGTATACATATCTGGACTATGAGTTGTTTACATATCTGGACCATGGGTTGTTTACATATCTGGACCATGGGTTGTTTACATATCTGGACCATGGGTTGTTTAAATATCTGGACCATGGGTTGTTTATATATCTGGACCATGGGTTGTATACATATCTGGACTATGAGTTGTATACATATCTGGACTATGAGTTGTTTACATATCTGGACCATGGGTTGTTTATATATCTGGACCATGGGTTGTATACATATCTGGACTATGAGTTGTATACATATCTGGACTATGAGTTGTTTACATATCTGGACCATGGGTTGTTTACATATCTAGACCATGGGTTGTTTACATATCTGTACCATGGGTTGTTTACATATCTGGACCATGGATTGTATACATATCTGGAGCATGGGTTGTTTAGATATCTGGACCATGGGTTGTTTACATATCTGGACCATGGGTTGTTTACATATCTGGACCATGGGTTGTATACATATCTGGAGCATGGGTTGTATGTGGTTTTCTTTGTATATCTACTTTTACAAAGGAGTCAGGTTTCTGTGTGATAAGTTATACTGTCCATCAATATTGGTAATTTCTGATATCTTTTTGATATGATTTTGTGAGTAAATCAACTTTGAGAAAAAGAAAAGGATGTAAATTAAAAGTGGTCTACATAGATCATCTACAGTGATCCCTACCCTATATATCAAACGAGGTTGTGAGCTCCAACCCAGCTTATTGCAGATCTTAATTGACTAGGTTTGCCAGTGTTCCTATTGAAGGTCAGTGGTTCTCTCCAGGTTCCCCCATGCTTCCTCCACAAAAAAAAATGGCCGCCATAACATAGCAAAGTCCAAATAACTATGACGTCTTGAAAGGCTATTTTAATTTACATGTAGGTTTTAGGAAGAAGTCACAGCAAAAAATTAAAATAATCTTTCAAGACATCATAATTATTTGGACTAGATATAGCCAAGAGTGCTGGAAGTGGGTAAAGTAACACCACAATCAATTAACCATGAACATTGTGTACAAACCGATAAGACTTATCTAAAGACTTACTCTGATTCCATATCTTTCATAAACGTTGTTCAGTAATGCCTTGCCATCCTTGTACCACTGAACATACATTGGCAACTTTCCAACAAGATAACAACTCAAAAAAGCACGAGATCCTTCTAAGATACATTTATTTTTTAGATTTTCTTGAAAATAGAACTCTTCATTTGTGCCCCATTTTATCTTCAACCTGATTTCTGGTTCCATTTCATTAGTATTGAGAAATTTAAGAGGAGTATACCCTGGTTTATAAATATCGTACTTGGCATCTATGTTGTCACATTCATAATTTCCATATTTAGATGTTTTTCTATTTATATAATAGTCTTCCAGTTTCTTGGTAGATGATTTTAATGAACTGGATGATGAATATCGTGATTCACTTGTTGCTCGTATTGAGGTACGGGATTCACTTGCTGCACGACGTGTTTCACTTCTGGCTCTGCTCCACTGGGAGAGGTTCAACAAATGGTCCCGTGACATCGACTCTTCTCTTTCTAAAAAAATTAGGTAAATAAATAATTCATATGCCTAATAGGTGAGTTTACTTGCAGCTCATTTAAACAGACCTCCTCCTAAAATCACTTCGAGAGAAAACTAAATTTCAGCTCTTCATCCAAGTTTCAACATCCTTACAAATCCTACCTTTTGTGTTAATTGTTTCTTTGTTTTTGTCCTGAACATCCATGAAATATTTGCCACTCAACATTAAGCAAACAACAATCAATAATTTTTTTAAGTTCTATGTCTACAGAAAAGTTTGTCTCAAAACTGGAAAATGTTCAGAATATCATAAAACAAATTTCCCTTTTCAAGTATCTATATATATATATATGACTGTAAACTGCTGGTTTTGGAAATCTTAGGTGAAAATTCTAATAAAAACAAATTTGTGATCTAAGAATGTATACAGTAGACAAATCAATTTTTTGTAAAGCATACCATGATCATCCATGTATGACAGTCATATATCAAAAGATCAAACCATAAATCACCACTTTTAATGTAGAGGAATGAAAAACTTCATTCAAAATCTTTTCTTATCATGCACAAACATAAAACAAATTGACAATAACACTTACTCTTAGAAAGCACAGTGACCTTGGCCTCAGAAGTAACCAAACCCTTGTCATTTTGAGCCTCACATTTGAACACTGCAGCATCTTTGTCAGGCTTAGGATAAAATATTTCTAAACTGATGGTTCCGTCTTTCAGATAGAGAACTTGGTAGCTGTAATCGTCTTTAGATATAGGAACATCGTCTTTATACCTAAAACGTCAAAATAGCTTCAATTAAAGGAGATGTTTTAAAAATGACACATTATTATTTCATATCAAACCTTAATAGGATAAGTGCAACCAAATCACTGACCCCTCAGCACTGACTGACCAGAGATATTTCTTTTCACCTGAACAGCAATTTAGAAACTGATCTATTAAACCTTTATGTTGATCAATAAACAATGATGAGGAATTCATGCAATGTTAGGTCATGTTCACTTTAAAACCAAGATTCTATAACTAAAAACAGTTGACCTATCATAACAGTTGTTAGAAAGAAAATATTACCTAATCAGAAACTCAATATTCATTAGACCATGAAAATGGGGGGAAAGTCCAATAAAAACTGTCAGATTGAAAAGTACTCTGGTGGATAGTTGTCTAATTAGCAATCAACATCTCTTTATTTTTATATTTGTGTATATACTTTATACTATAATGTTTCAAGTTGATGTGATCACAATCTACTCTAGCCAAAACTTTAATTTACCTTAAACCAAAACTCCAACCTGATATTACTAAAGGAGAGAAAGATACACAGACCATATAACATAGTGCCACTCTACTACTACTAGTGCTTAGAGGGACATAAAAAGAAATTCATTCCAAAGCCAGTACACTTGTATCAATTGAGAAATCAATACAAAGTCAAGACCTTCTGTTTTTACAAATGGACAAATGTAAGCGTAGTTTTATTCCACCATGTATTTATTCCGGGTAACTGTTTTTCACTAGAAAATATTGGATGTTAATAGTGTGAAAGCATCGATCGTGATATCGTTGTTTGTTTATATTAGACCAGTTTACATAAATTAATGGGTTAAAATTAGAATAACCTTCATGGAACCAGTTTAATTAATCTGGATCAGTCTAGCCTTTTATGATATAGTACTAAAAGTCGTGCAACATAAAATATAATTTGACGGGGTTTTCGCACTTACTTTCAAAGGAATATGAAACAATTCTCCAGTACTTAAAAGTGCAAAAATATCCAAGATTCAAGTGAAAATGAAAAAAGAAGAATAAGAGCAAAAAAGGACCTATTTGTAATCAAAACACACGATGGAATGGATTATCTGTATACAAAAAATGAGACACAGGCAGTTGTAACGGATGCGAAGAAAAATTATTTTTAAAATCTTATTCGTTAATAAAGCATTATTGTGTTATCATGTGTTCAAAATGAGTACTGAAACACTTCATCAAGTGTAATCAATCCTGGTTCAAAATAACTAGTGCAATCATTCCTGGTACAAAATCACTAGTGTAATCATTCCTGGTTCAAAATCACTAGTGTAATCATTCCTGGTACAAAAGCACTAGTGTAATCATTCCTGGTTCAAAAACACTAGAGTGAACATTCCTTGGATGCAAAGCACTAGTTTACTTTGTTAATTTTTTACATAAATCAACAATGCAAGTTTTAGCTAATTCAAATATCCCCCAAAAATACCAAACCCCATTTTTTATATATTTCCCCTTCAAAAAACCCTCTGTAGAATCTTATGATTAGTGGTGGATTTTTTACACTGGACCCGGATTAAAAAACCTAGTGAAGTTTTGTTGGTGGATATAAAACACTAGGAATTTTCATCCTCCGGATAAAGTACACTGGCGGAATGAAACCACTGTTACACAAACAGCATCAAGTAACTACAAAAAGTTCTAAAAAAAACTGGAAAAATATGTTAAAACCAGAAACTTCACACATCAATCAAGTTCAATGTGAGAAAAATGGTTTTCAATATTGTTTCTTTATTTGGTGAAAAAATAATCTTTTAGCCGAAAAAGATTTTTATTAAGAAAGCCAAAAAGTTTTCAGGACTACTTGTGTAGCTCAATCAATTGAAGATTATTAAAATCATAAATACCTGTTTAGTAGCATAATTACTATAACAATCGTTGCTATTGCCATAACACATTCACTTAGTTTTAATATATTCAGATTGTTTTTTTATAATGTTCCATTTTAATTTAAAGTCTATCACATGTAAAATCTCCTTTTGTTATGCTGCCTCCAATCCATAAGGAAGAAAGTTCATTGCTTGTTTGAATGATTGTTGGTGTTTAACTTTACTTTCAGCAATTTCTTGGTTATATCGTGGCAGCAAGTTTTTATTGTTCAAACTCACAACCTCGGTGTTGACAGGCTAGCAATACCTTTGATAAATTACTTAGATCACTCAAGAATTTTGAAAGAAAAAAGAAATTTCAAACCTGCACTAATTGCCATCTTTCTTTGATTTAATTTTATCAGTTTTAAATGGTACTACCAAATAGCCTGATATCACCCTCTGACCCATACTCTCACTAAACAATACTTACCAAATAATTTTAGGGAGTGGTGTACCTCTGACTCTACATATCAGCTTAATACTCTGTCCTTCTAAAGCTGTTACATTTCTAAGACTCATTAGAAATCTAGGTTCTTCTGAAGCAGGAGTTGAATCTGTAATATTTATTCATATACATGTACATAGTTATTGTGTCTTTTTTTGTTAAGAGGTTTTAGATAAAGACAATAACAATCATATAGATAAAAACAAAATGATCGAATAAAAACAAAATAACCCTATGCTGAAAATATAATTCAATTCAAAGGAGTAGGGGCATTAAGGGCAGGTTTTGGCTCAATAAAAAAAAGTTTTTGAAAACTGTTTCAAATATGCACATAATGTTTGGAAATGCATAAAATCAAGAAATATAAATGAATTACATAAATTTGTTTGTATTATGACATCACAATTACGTCATAATATGCAGCATTTTCATGAAAACAACGAAAACTGCAGAATTTATGCAATCTTCAGTTGTTATTTCCTTTGAGGAAATATTGTGTGCAGCCAAGAAACAACAAAATAATTCAAGAGAAGCTTTGTTATAAGAATTGACATCATCCTATCAAATATAAAGTTGTTTCTTGGGTTTGCAAATACCTTTCCAATCTAATATATATTTAAAAGTGGGTGTAAAAAGAAGGAAAATACAAAACATTTACATTATATACAAATTTCGTCATGGTTTATTGCCCTGGTAACTCGTTAAATGTAAAATTTGTTTTTTATTTTCTAAACACCTTGAAACTTAGTGTAGTTAAGACAAATTTAAGAATATGCATGGAATATTTAATTTGCACTTATATTTCGGGCCAAATAACAGCCTTATTGCCCCTACTCCATATTGACTGCTATAAATATATGTCTATACTATTTATATGATTTTCCCATGTAGACCATATGTGAAGAATATATATGTATTAGAGCCACATTTCAAATTTTATGAAATTTTGTAAACTCTTTTAACTGCATGCATCTGAGCATCAAAAAAGGTATGTACAGATATGTAGTCTCCATACCTCCTGAGAGGCAATCAATTAAAATTTTGTGAAACAGGTTGACAAATGATTAGAATGTGTGTCAAAAGCAAAGGGAAATAAATTTTATCACTACTTGAAAATTTGTCCACAGACTTTGTCAGGTTGGGATCATGTCAGACAATATGGGGTTGCATCATGAAATTTGGGATACCTAAATATCTTTGGTCTTAAACAGTTATTCACTCAACGAACCAACTCTGTTTGGGGCATACACTATGCTAAAGTTTAACATGACCAAACAACATATTACAATACATGAGCCATAATACCTTTTATTAGTCCATGTATAAAGGGGGGAAAATACAAAAAATAAAATACCATAGACATCCAGATCACAAGATGTAGATGCTGTTCCATGTTTATCCTTGACTTCGCATTTCCATCTTCCAGCATCTTTGATATCAGCATCATGGATTTTAAGACGATATGTCAAAATCTCTTCCTCCGAGTCAGAACCTGTTCCATTGGCAGACTTTCCATTGACTAATGTACCATTCTGGACAACCTTAATATCACTACCAGAAACTAATGACTGCCGTTTAGCTTCTTCTGACGTAAAAAAATACATGTTTATAATTAATGATTAAACATTTTGTTCTACATGTACATGTATGTGTCTTCAATATTTACTCTAAAGTCTAAGCTTATTGAAACTTCCTTATAATTATTTAGCTTTATTTGAAAAGTATCACTGATTGAACAACAAACTTATTCCCCACCCCTTATATCTTGTATGAAAAGTTTCCTCACTTCATACAAAATGTAATTTTGTCAATGCTTTTACAACCCCAATATAACTGCAAAAAGAAGCATTCAATTCTTTAAACTATACAAGCTATAAAGAGTGCTTTTCCATGATATGTTGCTTTAAAATGCAAAAATGTCTTATATAAAAATGTATAGTGTCTGAAAAAGGACATTCTGATATAATAAAGCTTGGTATATTTCTAGTTTTAAATTTCGTAAGTATTTTAAAAAATAATTAAAAATTAGCAAACTGCATGAACTGTACTCTTTCATAATTATTTTAATCTATTTTTTTTCTATAAAAATTGACTATTAACTTCTACTTCAACAATATCTTTCTTAACTTGGACATGACCTAATCAAAATACTAACAGACTGTTTATTCAAAATTAAGGACTGATAAATTATGATCCAGATTCCCATCTGAATTTATAACTTCAGTAAGCAATTTACAGTATAAATATAGTTATTATTTGCTTAATTTCAAATGGTAAATATTTCATGCATATGCAAAAAAGAACACATTAGACAAATTTTAACTGGGATGATCATCAGATGATTGGGTAAATTAGACTACCACTGGAAACTAAAGGCTCTACAGAGCCAGTGTCTCTCAACTGGGTCTTTGTTGTGCATCTTCATGAATGGACTCTCTCCAACATTGTAATAGAATAGAATAGAATTTGTAACCAAAATATATATCCTTTTTATTGAACTTGTATTGCTATCATTTTTGTTATTTACCATGTTTACAGTTACTCTATATCTTCTATAGATTTTGCCCAAAATGCTATATAAAATGGATAAAAATTATTTAGGGGCAATAACTCCTTAAGGAGTCAACCAATGGGTTTGGTCATATTGGCAATTTTTGGTTTCAGTTATATGCCATACTTGTAGATTTTGTATTGCTGCTCATTTTTGTTGTTACTGTCACTTATAAATGTTTCTCTTCACCTATTGCAGTTCATTCAAGATTCTAACCAAATTGCAATTTGTTTTAACAAATCAAACTGTTCATCTGGTCAGAAGTTTAAAATAACTGCTGAAAAGAAACTGAGTCCAGGTGCGGATCCAAAATTTTGAAAAGAGGAGCCCCTTGGCAAGCCAACATTTGGAGTCATACTTGTAAAAAGTCTATGCATTTATCATATTTGAAGTTCCCTAAGATCCACCTCTGCAGTCAAGTAATCAAACTGCAAAGTGTTAAAATAAAGCATACTTACAATCTATTAAGATTTGAAAGCACAAGTTCATATTTGTTAGTGGTGTTATATGCTGTGGCATAATCAGGGGGCCAATTGTTCCAGTCCTTGCGAGTTTACAAAATTGAAAATAAACCACTTCCTAAATCTTTTGTTGTTGACTGAAGTAGGGAGCATGATGTCCTGTATAACTACAGCTTCTTTTTATGTTTATTTATTTCTATCTAATAAGTCATTTGCTATTTAGATTATGCTTTACAAATAGCACTAAACATAAGCTTAACTTAATCAAGCAAATATAAGCTATTAAAATAAACTTGATTAATCTAGCATAAGCTTGTAATTTGATTTATAAGCATAGATAACAATAAATAAATAAATAAGCTTTATTTCGGCATAGTATACAAACAAGGACATACATAAGCTCTATTGAGCTTTTAACCAACATAGGCCAAGTTGAATTTAACCAGCTTTACTTAATTCTCTATCTGTGACCAAATTCTGAACCATATAAGAGATTAGTCTAGATAAGTATTACGTCTGCTAAGGATAATTTTTTATTCAGCTTAGATTTTTTTGTAGATACAATGTACCTTACTGACAAAAAGAGATACAATGTAGCACACTGAGGTATTTGGGGCATGGACCCCCATTTTTGGGCCCCAATGTAAAAAAAAAACCTATCTATTTTTCCATATTTACAATTTTTTGCAATGTGTAGACATATTATACCAAGTCTCAAAAATCTATATCTGGGTGATTACAATACCTGTTCTACTATCCACACAAACTATTAGTGAAAAAAGAATCTTAGGGTTTGTGTGGATAGTAGAAAAAGTATTGTAATCGACTAGTTATGGATTTTTGAGACTTGGTATATGTCTACACATTGTAGAAAATAGTAAATATGAAAAAATAATTATATATTTTTTTACATTGTGGCCCAAAAGGGAGGTCCATGCCCCCAAATTCCTGTGATTTCAAGTAAATAAAGTACATTGAGGAGAGATGCTCTGTTAATTACCAGGCATCGATAGATGGTTCCAGTTAAAGCCATGGCGACTACCTGCATGTTTATGGATATTTTAAGCTGAATGCAAGGATTCAGACTATTTTATTTACCATGATATATCAATGCGGAGTCATCATGACAAAAATCGAAACCGGATGTCTCTTTTCTAAGTCACGAAATCTATTCTGGCTAAATTCCGGATAAAATTTGAATCGGCTGGCATTGGAAAAAATGCAAGTCTGGTTTTAAATCTGATTCAAGCCAAGCTAAGTCAAAGTTAATGCCGAAGTTGCTTTTTAATTAATTCTAAATATGTTCAGTAAATAGATAATAATAAATAGTAGCCGAAATCATGGCAGCCTTCTGCCGCATATAAATTTCCTCACTTTTCTGAAGTTTCCAATAAGGGTTCGATCAAGGAAAGAAAGGAGTATTCCTTTTTGACAGGACTGTTGACTAATCTTTCCCTTTTCTCAAGTAACAAGACAGTATTCGTTTATGTGGATCTTTCAAAATATTCAAAATAAAATTATAAGGAGATTTACTTATTGTAAGTGAATGAATGCAATAAGACAACAATCCACTAAAAAACAAAGAACGATGATCTAAACAACCACACGTCACACGGTTACTCGTCACCGTACGATCTTCAACGACGAGCAAAGTTCATACCGTAAGGCAACAACGTTCTTATTATGTACAAAACAACAAACGAAAAACAAATATCCTTTGTTTTTCTGTGATATACAGCAACAAACAAAAAACGAGTATTATGATATGCAACAACAAACGACAGCTACTGATTACAGGCCCCCGGACTTGTTACAGGCACATTCAGAATGTGCTGAGCTAAACATGTTTGGGAGGGGGCGACAAACCCTTCCTCCTGATGTTCATCAATTAAGGAATAACAGTTCTCAAGGAAGAATTGCCGCCATCAATTGGGGGTTTGACGGTTGCAACTGAAGTTTTACCGTCGACGCGTAGCGGAGTCAGTATAACAATCAGACAAATTTTGTGTATTTTAAAAGCTCGTAAGAGGTTATGTTTGTATTGTCTTGTATATACCGACCTTAAATAAAGCTTTATGTCTTATGTCTAACAGATATTTGAGAACGTCAAATCCCAAATTGACGTTGACAACTCTTCAACTACAGTACTGTTATTATTATTCTTATACATAACGAACAAATACATTAGAGCTTGAAGAAATGTATATAATTCTAAATAAAATAACATTCGAAATTTAATGAATGGCACGGGTATTCGAATTTTCACCATTGCAGTGAAGTACTTTAGTAGACAAGAACGCTAAATTATGATCGACTTACCGAATACGTCAAGGTCACATGTTGTCGACACAGTTCCATACTTATCCTTGACTTCACATTGCCATTTCCCAGAATCAGAAATGTCAGCGTCGTGGATTCTAAGCTTATATGTTAATATTTCCTCTTCGTCAGAACTTGAACAGATGGAATCTGCCATGATGAGAATGTCACTGAAACTAAAACAGTAAAAACAAGCAACCGATCATAGCCAGAAATTAGTAGTGCTTTTGCTAATTAATATTCATAATATGTAAATGAGAATTGTACCACGTGATAATAGTTTGAACTGGACTGGCTTGATATCATTAAAATCTTTAAAACACGGATATTATAAGTTGCCCGTCACAGAGTCCTTGTTTATAATCACCCTGATATTTCCGTAAAGTTGTCAGGCGGTCAAAATCAAAACAATGAACGCGAATTTAGTGAATTTTTCGTGTTTTCGTGAGTTTATTCTTCTTGAAATAGAGGCATTTTAACTTTACGTGGGAACCTAGAGTTCAACGACTACACATACAAGGTTTGGACTTGCTTATTCTTTGGACATTCAAGTTTCAAGTTTCACCCCGGCAACCTGTATTTCTAATGACCTTGTTAGCCAATTTTCAACACGAAGTTTGCAAATTTGACGTTTCAGCCATTTTAGCCTGCATTTTATACTGCAATGTTAAAAGCCTCTCGCTTCGATTTTTAAAATAGCTCAGGAACCTTGATTTTTGCAACGTCAGTCATTATATTTCGTTTAAATGGTGTATATTGTTGTGTATATTTATTTTCTGCCCCGGCAACCTGTCTATCACTTAAATCAAAGTTACAACAGACATTTTTTTCTAAATTCCCTATCATTTCAATATAATTTCCGTGACCCGTATCCGATTTCTTTAGTATAATATTCAAATAAGCAAAGTGGCGTTGATTTCTGGATATGTGACAAATTGATAAGAATATGGATATAAAAAGGTTTATAAAAGGCCCCGAAATGACAAATGTAAAACAATTCAAATTAGAAAACTAACGGCCTGATTAAAATACAAAACAATAAACGAAAAACAAATACGGTATACAGCAACAAACGACAAACACTGAATTATGCATATTTTGACGGAAAAATGCATTTTATTTATATCTACAATTTTTATCAATCAGATGTAGGGTCATTACTTTCGATGCATTCAGCAACAAACAAAATATCTTCTGTATTTGTAAAAAAAACAATCGCAAAAATATGATAAAACACATAATTTTCTTCGTTCTAACAAATGAATGACATTCTTCTCTCGGAATTTGCACATTTCAATAAAGAAGTAGACCGATTCTGCTATTTTACTATCCAAGATGGCGGAAGATACTCGAGCTACCTTAAAACATAGAACCTGTGTGCAAGCTTTGCTTACAAAGCTCGGAAAAGAAGGAATAAGTTTGCCTGCATATTGTTTGAAAATCATTAGAGAAACAGATTCCACCACCAAATCTCGTGTAATACGATATTTATCCACTCTCGACAGTTAAATTTTAAATATTTAAAACGCTCGGCGAGCCTCGCGTTTTAAATTTGAAAATTTAACTGTCTCGAGTGGATAAATATCGTATCACACTCGATGCAGTGGTAGAATCTATATATAGTGTATAAATATTTATCCACTCGAGACAGTTAAATTTTCAAATTTTAAACGCGAGGCTCGCCGAGCGTTTTAAATATTTAAAATTTAACTGTCGAGAGTGGATAAATATCGTATTACACGAGATTTGGTGGTGGAATCTGTTTCTCTAATGATTTTCAAACAATATGCAGGCAAACTTATTCCTTCTTTACGAATGATCTGCAAAAAGATGTGTTCTTTCTATGTGACGTCATCAGGCATGGTCGCCTTTTTTCATGCCGTCACAATAGGAAATTCAGAGGAAAGCAAGAAAAATCGACGTCATAATCGGATTTTAACCAATGATGAACTGAGATGAAACGAACCACACGTTGATTAAATTTTTTTTATACAATGTGTGCAGAAAGGGATAAATTCACGAAGAATTAGAGAAATATATATATATTAATGCCAAGTATATGATGAATATATATATATATATATATATATATATATATATATATATATATATATATAGATTCTACCACTGCATCGAGTGTGATACGATAATTATCCACTCGAGACAGTTAAATTTTCAAATTTAAAACGCGAGGCTCGCCGAGCGTTTTAAATATTTCAAATTTAACTGTCGAGAGTGGATAAATATCGTATTACACGAGATTTGGTGGTGGAATCTGTTTCTCTAATGATTTTCAAACAATATGCAGGCAAACTTATTCTGTCTTTTCGAATGATCTGTAAAAAGATGTGTTCTTTCTATGTGACGTCATCAGGCATGGTCGCCTTTTTTTCATGCCGTCACAATAGGAAATTCAGAGGAAAGCAAGTAAATTCGACGTCATAATCGGATTTTAACCAATGATGAACTGAGATCAAACGAACCACACGTTGATTAATTTTTTTATACAATGGGTGCAGAAAGGGATAAATTGACGAAGAATTAGAGAAATATATATTCCTAACATCACTGAAGAGACATTAATTGTCGAAATCCGGATATGGTGTACTAATTTTTGCACCTTTTGTTTGCGGTATACCATCTTTTCCTCAAGTTTATTGTTTTCTGTTTGGTATTAAATTAATAGATAAGATCCATTTTGTTACATCTGGTGATCCGTTTATTTGGCAATCGCCAATGGCAGTCAGCAGGGTTTAAGAACATCCGTTGTTCGACCTGCTAGTCAAATGCGTTTTGTTGAAATATACTTTTTCACTTTTTTGGTCTTTTGGAAAATGTTGTTTGTGCTGTATTTAGACCCCTCTACCGAGAAAAATTTGTTTTGCATGCACACGTATAAAAATTGCAGTTTTTATCCAACGCAATCATAGGTTTGAGCGTTTGAACATATATATATATAAGTACGTCTAAACAAGTGACAACTCTACGACAGATCCATCCATTGGATCTCTAGTGAAGGTGATACACGGCTGAAAACACATATTATATTCATAATCTATACTACTAAAGGAAGAGACCGATTTCATTGAGCCGCAACTCCTCTGAAACCATACAAAGTCGGGAATATTTGTGATATGACGTATAAATGTAGTGTTTTGTTCTTCTTAAATTTGTCTTTGAAACAATCTTTTTTCCACAGAAAACGCCAATTTTTGAGAAAATATCCAAATTCGGAGACCGTTATCGATCCGTGTCTTATACGCTTTCGTGCATGCTCAGTCGACGTACTGCCCGCGAAATCCAAGTGAAAGTAAGAAGAAATGATAGAAAATTGGACAGTTAGGCCTATAAGGATCCTCTATTGTATTGCAAGTGCATCACTTTGATAAATTAAACGACATCCACCCTTTTTACTCAGGTGCAGAACTGTCCAAAAATGAAATGGGCGTTGTACGTGTCGAAGTGTTCCTTCCCCCTTTTATGTGTAAACACAGGCACCCGACGTCCGGACCCTCCCCCTTTTCATGTGTAAACACAGGCACCCTTGGCACTCTTTGTTTCAACAACTGCCCAATTGTACCGCGATTTCGCGGGCATCTTCTAGTTACTCTGAATATCAACACAACAATGTTAAATCTTCCCTCGCCGGGATTCGAACTCATGCAGAGGCGGATTTAGGGGTGCCAGGGGGCCCGTGTCCCCCTTTTTTGGGAAAAATTTGGTTGATTATATAGGGAATCACTGAAGCATGACTGGAGCGGGCCCCCTCTTAGGCAGTTTGTGGGCCCCACTTATGAAAATTTCTAGGTCCGCCACTGTCATGCTATTGGGATATCGAGACAACACCGCCTGCACTGTGTCCAGCGCTCTAGACCACTCGTTCAGTCCTAGCCGATAAAGCCAACGAGGGAATGCATCACATCGATCACCGAAAGCTATATTTTTATGTAGCCTAGGTGGTGGAGTGGGCTAGGGCGCTGGACACGGTGCAGGTTGTGTTGCCACGATGTCACAGACGCAAGGGTTCGAATCCCGATGAGGGAAGAACAAAACTTTGCTAACGTAAATTTGCAGTTTGCAGATCTAACATTGTTGGGCTAAATTTGAGACGAATTTTATATATATAAATATATATCATACACTTGGCATTAATATGATAGTGTTTGAATATTTTTAACGAGCGGGGGTAAAATAGCCATAAGTTCACACCTAGGCTGACAACCCATATTGGCCCTATGTGACGTCACTCGGACTTGGCTGATATGAGGTTATCAGCCTGAGTGTGTTCATACATCGGAAGTATATGATAAAAAGATTAATACATGTCCTTTTCTATCGGCCAGGGTATCATCCCTCATCGACTCATATCAGCCCACGATTAACCTCTCTGACTGATATGGGGGTCTCGGGGTGATACCCCGGCCTATATAAAAAAGGCCATGTATTAATCTGTATTTGAATATAGCCCAATTAAGCGAATTTCTTTAGCTCGGTACCGTTTATCCAATTTCATTATATATCGAAAATGCATGGTCTTGAATCGTTTCTTTTTTGGGTCTTATAGAAAGTATTCTTTGTCTGATTTAAAAATAACAAGAAGAGTCTACGTTTCTCACAGCTAAGTCGCGGATCCATGGAGGGGGCGTAGAGGGCGTAAGCCCCCCTTTTGATCACAAAAAAAAATAAAAATCTCATGTTTTTCACGATATAAAGTTTTAGTTTAAAATCGTCACAAAAAAAAATCAGTCGTACGCAGCAAAATGCTATATAAATCAAACGGAGCAGAATGTTGCAGAATACTGCACAAAGATAGTGAAGATGTAAAAGCAGATGGTTTTGATCATCCTAAGAAATCAATATAAACATAATGTACGACTCTTATTAGCCAAAAGAATAAAACAAACAGCATATGATTATACCTTAGAGTGATTAACTACATATGTTTTCAACTAGGGGTCAAAATGTTGCCATCATATTCTTATATCTTAGGTCGATTATATAAGAAATTATAAGTCAACAAATTATAACAACGAATTTCTTGTCCAACAAAAAAAAGAAAATTTGAAGAAAAAAACCTTCCCCTGTGACATTCTCAACATTTCGCATGACTCTTCGCGATCATATTAACCAAAGATTGTATAGTGTTGGATTTTAATTTAGAACGATCATGTAGTTTCTGCAATTTAAAACCACCAATTTACCATAGCGTTCGCGTTTATTGGTTAACAAACGACCGACGCAATGCAGATACAGTTTCAGGATCCCAATCTAGAGCTCTAGATTAATATCTAAATGAATGTCATTTTATTTAACTGATATATTAGTAACCACAGATAGTCAATATTTGGGTCTGTTTATGAACTCAGCATATTCGGGACAGCAAAGAGGACACAAACTGTACACTTGGTATATACAAGTCTAAATTGAAAACAACGTTCAAACCTATGATTGCGTTGGATAAAAACCGCAATTTTTATACATGTGCATGCAAAACAAATTTCTTGGTAAAGGGGTCTAAATACAGCACAAACAACATTTTCCAAAAGACCAAAAAAGTGAAAAAGTATATTTTAACAAAACGCATTTGACTAGCAGGTCGAACAACGGATGTTCTTAAACCCTGCTGACTGCCATTGGCGATTGCCAAATAAAATGATCACCAGATGTAACAAAATGGATCTTAAATATTAATCTAATATCAAACAGAAAACAATAAACTTGCGGAAAAGATGGTAAACCGCAAACAAAAGGTGCAAAAATTAGTACACCATATCCGGATTTCGACAATTAATGTCTCTTTAGTGATGTTAGGAATCGAAACGGTATTTGGAAGGCCATATAATTTACCTCAATTTAGGATAGACTCTTGAATAATGAAGAGTCGAAATAGGATGAACGGATCATATAAACCCGAAGGCAAATATAATACAAGCCCAAACGAAAAAATATATACCTTTTCAATTATTCAATTATGACCTAGCGCTTCAGAAATGAATCACTGTAATTTAATGCTTTTTTATTTCCTGAAACTCAAAAAAATATTCTTCAACGGTAATGCTTTTAATACACTTGTTGATTTTTCAATTCCGTTATGATGCCCTTTGCAATTTTAGTGTACTAAATTGTCCACAAAACATGTTAAGTCTTAAAGAATTCCTCTGACATGTACAACTCATTTATAAACTCAGTCTCGAGGCTGTTAAGTGCAGTCAAAAATGAATAACAAAAGCACGATAGAGGTAACAATAGTTGTCAGAAGAAGTTACTGCTGCTGTCCTATGTTTACTTTCGATTGCATTAAACATGGCAGTTATTTCCCCATCATATCAACTAAATAAAATTCAAGGTCAGACATGCACAATATAAAATATTTTATCATTCTTACCTTTAGATGAAGATAAAACTAAATATTTTCATATATATTCAAAGGCATCCACCGGAGAAACCAGAGAGGTATCGGGTTCGAAACGAAAAAAGGGGTGAATAATATCATCATTATCAAGTATTGGTTATTAGTGATCAAAAATAGATAACGAGGCACATATGGGGTACTGAAGAGCACAAAATCTAGAGGAGTGCATTGAATTTGTCAAAAAAAAAAAGAATTACTTTTTGTTCAACTTGTAACACAAGATATATATGTAATGGGTTTAATTTGATTTGACAAATAAATCAAAAGTAAGAAATTGGCCAAGGAGCCTCAGCTGACATCTATCGACGGTTAACAAATACCATATGCTTCTTAATAAGATATAAACAAATATTTAGAGATGCAACGAGTTGTGCAATAATGCACCAATTGATTTCATTATGATGAACTCGTCGATTATCAACAAAGAATCGAATCGCAAAATGTATTTATACTAACATCAATTAATTTATCACAATAATATACAAGTTTAATAAGTTCAGTCTACCGCGAATGATTGGGGTTTGCATAAAATGATTATCGTCTGTTATTCAAATATTTATCCAACAGATAGAATACATAATTTGCATGTTTTCGTGTAAATAAAAATATGCAAGTCCCTCTTGTTTGAAGCTAATAGATATATTACTTTGTAGCTTAATATATCTTTCCCTAAAGATAGCGTTTGTGCCGGCTTTCCCCTAAGAACGTTCCTGATCAATCATTTTGTGTTCGATAACAATTGGATATTATACATTTATTTCCCGTGCCGGAGGGAGATATGAAGATTTGATCACCCAAGAATATTCATATTTCACGAGGGCTCTGCCCGATGGACATTTGATTTTTCGAGGGTGAGCAAATCTTCATATCTCCCGAGGCAAAGGGAAATGAATGTTTTATTCCACTGCCTATGCTTTGTTTACTATCAATACATTAAATATTATTTTGCATACATTTTTTTTCCTTATCCGCTTGATTTTGTAAGTCAAACTAACACGACATAACCATTGATAAACAGTAAGGATCAAAATTTTATTGTTTTATCGTCTGAAATAAATTTGAACATGATAATGAATTTTGCTATCGCTATTTTAACCCTTACCATGCGGGGGCCGTAATATTACGGCCGTACCCAGACCACCGTTATTTGGCACCAATGGCGCTCCATACATTTGGAGGTCAACGTAATGCCATTAAATTCGAAGTGTATGCATCTTTCCTCAATCTTACACCATTAATTGTCATCTTTCTCACTTTTAATGTTCATTTTGAGCTCAAATACGAACTTGGAAAATTGAAATCGGACAAAATTGGGTTTTTTGGAGGGGTGGGCTTACCTTCGAGGTCTGAAACACGAAGTTATGAGGCCTGAAACTTGGACAAATAGTGTAAACCCCAAGGCATATAACTACTGATCGTGTTTATTATCAAAATACGCCTAGGCAACGACTATACTTCCGGTTGCAGGTCCAGTTAAAGTAAAAAATCGGAAAAAATCGGATTTTTTTTGATATTTGGTGCAAATGACCTTTTTTGGACTGGTGTACCCAGATCAGTTTCACTCCGACCTAACAACTGTTGTGATTAATGTGTTCACTGGGGTCCACTCTACATGCAAACTACAGGTGGATGCATCTATTAGCATCCCTCGGACTTCCAGGTCGAGAAAAAGAACGTGAAAACGTCACAATTGACGCGTTTTGCACATGAGGACCAAATTTGGGGCAATATGATCCTCAGAATGGAATATTATACATTTATTTCCCGTGCCGGAGGGAGATATGAAGATTTGTTCACCCAAGAATATTCATATTTCACGAGGGCTCTCAATCATTTTGTGTTCGATGACAATTGGATATTACTTGTTGATATAGAAAAGTTCCGACGTCATATTTCAGCCCCTTCTGAAATTTTCAAGGAAAAATTTAAATCATAAAAAGCGTTCGTCTGCCATTTTTTCTTCCAAAATCAAAGGGTTGTTCGTGTTGCCTACATTACCAAAGAAGCGACATACCAGACATGTCGGTATATATCGTTATATATTGCTAAGGTTGTAAAGTCATTTGACTCGGGGGTTTTAGAGCCATGAATGATTTAATCCAAATTGTTCAAGCAGCAAAAACACGATACAATACGCCATTCTATGCATTGATATATATGTATACGACCGAGACAAAGAATAACGTGGCAAAAAGTTAACAACTTTTCTAGCTCATTACCTGAATTAATTATACACGAATCTCTGCCGGATTGCAAACACAATTAAAAGGGAGGAAGAAGAGCTAAATCCCTCATATTTGTACCATCCTGCATGATGGTGGTCAAAAATCTCCAAACTGTATAATTAAAATCTTCATAATCTTTATAAAAAGGGTACTGGTTCTGACTATTTTTTTTACAGAGATTATTATCCGTTTATAGATGTTACTTTAGAAAAAAATAGATCAGGTCGTTTAGGTTAATGCATACATACGTGCGATCTTTCCAGTTCATGCGCATTTAATATAGAAATAAGAAGCAAATAAAACGACTTTCCATCAGAGACTAAATGACGATAAAGTTAGCAGCTACATATTAGGTATATAGCGGCCCTCAACCCTGATCAAAGCCCATACCGCTTGACAAACTACAAAAGGATCCTACATGACAAATATAAACCAATTCAAACGAGAAAACTAACGGCCTGATTTATGTACAAAACAAAAAACGAAAAACAAATATGATATATATATATGATTTAAGTACAGACAAATTTTCATTAGCATGTTTATTTCCAAATGAACGTTTCTTTGAATCTGCCGCTTAGTGGATTACTTTTAGAAGTGTTTCTATTTGATATATATATGTATCATTCGACTTTATTCTTTTATTCTGTTCTTGAACTTGTTTGTCGAGCTTGGTTAGAATAGCAACATAATAAACTAATCTTTATATACTCAAAACTCCGGTAAAATGGTGTTCTCTTTATTCTTTTATATCTAGAGGAACAAGAAGAAGAAGAATATTTATTATTCCAATCAAGGTCCCTTGATGGGCAGCATGGCATGTACACATAAAACAATACATCATGATTTGTAACAGAAAAACATTTTTTTTATACATTGAAATGAAACATTAAAAAGTTCAGACATGTTATTTATTATCTCCATTCTATATAAATCACATACATTTAATTCCAGGCAGGACCAGAACCATAAAATCATTACAATTATCATTGTTATTACATACATTAATTTACATTTCGTCTAACATTTAGACATGTAATAATATAGTTCCCTAAATATTTAAGTACAGAAAAATTTTCATTAGTAAATAACCAAACAAATTTTGCCTCATTTGAGAGATATGAAAAATTAGGATAAATACTGTTTATCTCCTTGTCCTTTGTATGCTGGACAATTAGTAATAAAATGTTGTTCATCTTCAACCAGATTTAGAGTACATTTCTTACAAAGCCTTTGGTCTCTTTCTATACATAAAGTTTAACTCTTTGTATCTGTTCTTTTTGTGTTCCAAAATTTTACAAAACTATTACAAAGTTTTTGCTTAACTGACTTGATAAAAAAGTTAAGCTTTAAATCCAAATTCATGATGAATATTCAGATTTTTAAAAATGTAATGTATGGATGAATACCAGCATTCAATATTATTAGTAAACATTTTTTTGTTACACATATAGGTATCGTACAGTAAACCATCTTTCATATTTTTTATTCTAAACCAATATTTCATCATTGATAATACAACTGAAAAATATAAAGGGAATCTACCAAGCTCTCCTAGCACAGCTAGGTTAGAAGACTTTTTTACACCTAAAATATACTTCATATATCTTAAATTGGATTTATCTAAAAAATCATTCATATAAATGTGCTGTAATAAATATTCACTTTCTTTCTGGCATGCTGCAGAGCTAGTTTTAAACATGCCTGTAATTTCACTGCCATACATTAAAATGGGTTTTATTGTATGGTCATATTTATGTAATAGAGTAGAAATACTTGGATTGGAAGATGAAATAGATCTTTGCAATTTGAATACAGCTTTTATTGATTTTTTTGTATAATTCTTCCTTTCCTGGCTTAAAAAAGCCACTAGATATAAATTTGAAACCTAAATACTTATAATTGTTAACACATTCTATTGTATCTTTTTTGAAATAAAAATATTCTTTTAACAGTTTACCAGGTTTGTTAAATATAATAACTTTGGTTTTAGATAGATTCCCAGTTAACACAAAAACATAGTGTTTATGTTTTAAAAACATTTTGAAAAATGTTGTGAAAATATCGTAGAAAATATTTTTAAAACATCATTAAAACGTTACTGACTTTTGTTGACAATGTTTGTGAAATGTTTTGTAAATGTTTTAAATATGGATGTTTATAAAATATCCATGAAACATTTTTAAAACATAAAAAAAAATGTTTTTGCAGGATAAAATGTTGTGAAAATGTTCAAAAAACATTTTACAAAATGTTTTAATAATGTTCATATTCTCAAAACATCATTTAAATGTTATATGAATATCATTAGAAAAATGTTTTCTTACATCATCATTCAAATGTTTTATAAAATATTCATCTGGGGATGGGGGAGGGGGGGGTCCTGGGTCCACTTATGGAGCTACAATTATGGTTAATCTAATTCCTACTATTTCACTCAAACTTTGTCTAGTTTAGAGCCTGTGGCCCCTCTTTTCATAATCCTGGATCTGCATCTGAAAAACAACTGCTGTCCCACTGATCTTTACCCCACATCTCCTTTTAAAATTGTTTGTTGATTACAGTTGAATCTACATATATTTTGTTTACTTTTGTCGGATTTATGTATCATTGACATAACCCTATTTTTTGTAATACCTTGAACACGTAATAATTTGTCATGGTTTTTTTCTGATTTTAATCTTTGTGCATTTTTTTGAGAAGTATTTCTTGATCTCATGTTTGATCACATGTAGCATCGGACATTTTTTTTTCTGAAGTTTTTTGACTGTTTTCTTTGCTGCCTTAGTCAACACTATACAAGATAGAATTACAATTATAAATGCAAAACATTTATTCAATATTTTCGTATC